CCACAAACCATGTTATGACAATTAAAAAATGTAATAAAAACATTTTTTCGGAAAAACGTTTTTTAATGTTTTTATTATTATCATTGTGGCCAGTCCTCAGTTTGAAAACAAAAAATGGTGTACATCTTACGCACACACACACACACATACACACAATTAACATGTCCATTAACACTTGTTAACAACATTTGGCAAACATAAAAATAAAAGTTGACTTTCCTGAATGACTAACCGGAGTTGACATTTACGGAGGTTTATTTTATGAGCGAAGGTTGTTGACTAATTAAAAATTTGATCCTTGATCAGGACGTTTGTTTATTTCTTATTGTATTTTCAATAGGTGAATCTTATATCGATAAAAGCCCGATATATGATAATCTGCCAATTTATATAAAAAAACAGTAATGTACAAATATTGTATCTAGTTTTTTGTTTTTACTACATGTGGGAATACAAATTAAGGCATTATCGAAATTTTGGCGATAAGAACCTTTTATTTGCCCAAGATGCATTGGTATTGTTATGGGATAATTTTTTTATTTTATTCTGAATTTTTATATGAAAAAATATAATAGTTTTTGGTTCGGACGTGTTTAATATAATGAGAACCCAAAATACTAAATTACAGCCAATTCGGTTGAAAAAGGTCTCCCAAATCCCTAAAGTACCGAATATTGGGCGTACCATTATATGAGAGCTACACCAAAACATGGACAGATATATTCCATTTGCAATACCAAACATCCTAGGAGTACTAGCAATGTCTGTGCAAAATTTCTAAACTCTATCTGAAATATTGCGATCTCTATCGAGATTTCAACAAACGTACTAAATTCGACGGACATAAATCCACATTGAAAAATATAAGTTTTAAAAAAATAACGCTTAAAATTTGTGCTTATAGTTAGATTAGTCCTTTAAAATTCACTCCTGTAGCTCACTAAGTATTAAATACTAGCTTCTTAAAACGTTACTAGAATAATCAATTCCATTTTCAATTCAATGAGCAATTCTAAAAACTTCATTACATGGACTCCAAAAGCTTAAAATTTACAGTATATCACTTAATCATATCGAGCCATATTCGCAAAAAGAAACGTAACCCTCAAATTTAAAATTTTACAGGAGAAGGTTTGTTTTAATAAATGCAGATTTAATAATGCTACTATTTTGCTATTTAGAACTATAGTTTAAAACAAAACTAGTTTATAACAAATCTATAGTTCTATATTTCACAATAATAGCTTTATTAAATCTGAATTTATTAAAACAAACGTTCTCCTGTAAAATTTCACATTTGAGAGTTACGTTTTTTGGCGAATATGGCTCGAATATCATAAACAACAATACATGAACTACTCCGAAATCGAAAATAAAGCTCGAATTGCTATTAAAACCATTGATTAATAAGAAAGTCCACGATTTTAGATGGTTTAATAAAAAAACTCTTCAAAATTCAGACTTTAGACTAAAAAAATCTAAAATGAATAGGTTATCATTTTGTCTGAACGGAGGAGTCTGAATAAAAAATTACTTCATCTCACCGGGAGTAAGATTGCACGTGTATTCATCTGTCAACTTTTTTTTTATAATAAATTGAAATGATTTCATTTCATGGAAGAAATATTCAATAATTATTCATATCATACTCAGATAATTGTGCAAAATAAAATACCTGATTTATTTTTATAATTCATGACGTCAAACTTGTATTTACCGATGTACTCGTTCTCTCCCGTCGTCACAATGTGGGTCAGGAAGTAAAAGGAAACACTACCTTTTTTTGGAAATACACACTATATATAAAAATAAACTGTAATTTCCGTGGAAGCTTAATCAGTCAATGGGTGGCAGAAGATAATGTCAATGATCCCCCATTGCCGTTCACTTTATAAACAAATTTATTAACCCACTTTTTGAAAGGCTTACTTTTTTATATTTCATAAAAATAATAACGAACATTATTATATCTTTTCATTAAGATGGTATTAAATTAAAAAACCTAATCAATTGAACATTGAGAGGAGCGTTTCTAGAAATTTTGGAAAAAAAATAATAAAAATTAATTTTTGAAAAAAATCTAACTCTAATTGAAAGATGTTTGCCTTATAATGCACTTATTATGATCGTCAGTATAGTTTCTATTTTTTATATTCTAAAATCAGTTTATTTTATTATTTTCTATGCTTACTTCATCGGGTTAAAGGTTATAATTATTCCAATATTATACCTTCATACCTAAAATCACAAAATTAGTGTTTAATTTGTTCTTGAAATTGCCACAAAAAAGTGATTGATAAGGATTTTATATGGACACTTTATACATATTCCTCTGAACAATTGAACTTTAAGATTAGTGCGGCTTTCCAAATTGATCTGAAAAAAAAAAATGGAAATTAAATTCTAATTGATTAAACTTGTAGATTTCTCTGATTATTATTAATTTTTGTGGTCATGGTAATCCATTACATTTCTTAAAATATGAAAAATTATAATTTCTCATATGCTTACACCATCAGGTTAAAGGTTATATTCATTTTTCTTTAATAGCCATATTAAACGTTAATACCAAAAAATCAAAAAATATGGGTATAATTTGTTTATGCTACTAAAAGAAATGATTGATAAGGATTTTATGGACATCATATACATACATATTCCTTCGATTCATTGATTCCGGAATTATTATCAATGAACTTTGATCATCTGAAGAGGGCGAGAGAAAGTGTTAACCACCTAACACTATTAGCTACTGTTGCAAATGGCAACTCAAAAATGTTTTAGTGGTTATTATTGATAAGATGGCTAATAAAATCTGCTTAATAATAAATAGGCAAAATTTTCAATGTTAATACATACATACCAAGATAATTACTATAGCAGGCCCCTCCAAAAAAAAGAAAAGAAACAAACAACCTTCACGAGGTATACGTGTTGTTTAATATTCCACAAAAAAATATATACATACCGGATAGAGATTATTTCTTTAACTAATCTTCATATTGTCGATTTCGAGACGTTATAACGTTATCAAACGTTCGAAGGTAGTACAAAGATCAATTATTGCAACCACAGACGTCCTGACTGATATTTTCGTAATTTTTCTTTTTTTCCAGTTCTCATTTTTTATTGTTGTATAACTGCACATTTGTGGGATTAGGTGCAGATAATAAAAGAACATTAATTTTTTTAATCGGTCCATGATAAAACTGAAATGGAGTGAAAAGAAATTGAAAGCACTGTAATGTCATTACAATTATTAAGAAGAAAGCAATGGGTGTTATTCTCCTTTATTTTCCATCTAATAACAAAAAAGCCGTCGCACTTTAACTAACAAAAAACCCCAGATGCCACTAAACGTGATGTGCTACGTCGTATGACCCATGAAGACCAAAGAACAAGTTAAAGTATATTGTGGCAACGACTGAGTCGACAATATCTTACGAAGTAACAACAATTCTCAATATATCGTTGATTGCCAATATAGTTCCCAAAGCATGGACATTTGACAGAGTGGCCAACAAACTGAAGACCGATTTCACTTCAACCGAAGATATAGAGAAAACAAATCATAAATAATCCTGATGGTTTTGAAACGTTAGACGGCATTCGTATGTGGAACTAAGAAATTAGAAGTCACAAACTCGTACATGATGAGGTAATTTCTCTGGAAATGTTCAATCTCTAGCATTTTGATATTCCCAAACTAACGGAGGGCATCTAAATGTAATGTATTATATGCGAATGGATGTACTTTCAATGCGTTGGAAATCATTTCAACATATCGGTTAGTTTCTTTCATTTGAAGAATATGAAAATATCCACAAATGAAGGCTATCACGGAATATATGGTCCAACGAAGCACAACTTCCGACACTGCCGTAATATATAAATCGACATTTCATACATGTCCAACTTAACATGCCAGGCCTGAAACATCGTATGTGTTTCACCCGTTAGTACTACTACAACAACTACTAAACATTTATGCCTTCCACCCAGACACATCAGAAGAGATCTGCATGAGCTAAACGGATCTATCGAACAGGTCAGAATATCATTCGTACCGATGCAGTCATCGACTATTAGAACAATACACCATATGAGTGCTATAATCGGAGACTACTTCCCATCTATCAAAGTAAACATGAACATTAGCCCAGTTATCTTTATTTCCGATATACGTGAAATCGTTCAATGCAATAAGCCCTACCAAAGAATTCCGTTTGAAATAGCAGAGGGTGGCAGGTGCAGAGGGTGCAGTGCAGAATGATCTTCTGCGTAATCAGGAAGATCATTCAATTTAGGAATTTGTTGGACCAATTCCCATTCCAGTATGTATTTAGATCCACAAGAAGGAAATTATAGTGTTGTAAATCGCGAACGGTCTTTAAACAAGAGCTAAGAATCGATATTGGAATCTACAGAATGAGGAAAGATACAAAACATCCACCCGAGAGAATCTCCATTTCCAGGGTAGCCTAATTTCTCGTGTCAAGACTACGCCAAAGAATTTTAATTTAAATGAAATTCAAGAGTTCCAACATTACTTTGGGTGGGACATGCAGTGTACACAGTTCTACTGACGGTAAAAAAAATCAAAACAATCCGCGATCGGAACTTAAACGACATTGGGATTTATTCGACATGTATGCAATGGAAATCCAGTACAATGTAAAAGTACTAGTATACTAAACTTATAATCAACTATTATTATTATTTAAACCATAATTTTTGCCGTTTTCTCTAATATGTTTTCTACATTTTTTATACGAAATATAAAAAAAAAAAATTTAAATTTATAATTATCCGGTGTGAATATGGCGTTACTTGCCATTAACCAAATACTAATGTGCCATACGCTATAATTTAAGGAGTCGCTGTCAATTGAATTGTTTACGTTGTGTATTTGTTTATTTACATTTTTCAATAAATACCTAAATATTTAATATTTATATAAAAAATTAAATATAAATACTGTACACAGAAAAACTAAAAACATGTCTGATGAAGAAGAAGATTATATGTCAGATAAATTCTTAACTGGGTAAGTAATATGTTCCCATCAGTAAAACTGTAATAAAGAATATCCTTACACATCATTTTCAGCCTGTCCGATGTTCGTCCAAGTCTAATTAATAATCGTGCCAAAAAGCGTCAAATAATGGTAGAGTCCAAGCAAAAGGATCACATTAAAAAACAACGAGACATGAGAGCACAATGCTCCGCTGTAGTTAACAATGAAAAGTTACAGGAAGCACTAAGTAAACCCCTGGAAAATGATAATAAAGGTTTTAAGTTATTGGCAAAAATGGGTTATAAACCTGGTCAAGCATTGGGTAAAGCAAATGGAAATGAAAACTCAGGAGAAGCTCCTACACCATCAAGACTATTAGAACCAATTGGAATAACTCTGAAGTCGGATCGTCAAGGTCTGGGTAGAGAATCTGCTCTGCGGGAGCTTATGGAAAAACAAATTCAGCTAAGAAAGCAACGTTTGCAAAAAGAAAATGGTGCCGAAACATCCATTGAAGAATTTCGACGAAGAACAAATGAAAAGGCCGAAGAGAGATTTGTTACAAATGCACTTAAGCGCTGTCAAAAAACCTGTGAAAATTTAGATATACAAAATCATGTAGACACCCCAGCGATGCCATGGTTTTGGCCTGAGCTAATCAAAGAAAAAGATGAAGCCAATGATGAAGAAGAAAATCACAGCTCCGATTCTGAAGAGGAAGTAACGGATGAATTTAGCAATGCCGAAAAATTGGAAATGTTAACAAATTACATACGTACATCCTATAATTTTTGTTTTTGGTGTGGAATACGCTATGAGGATCTAGACGATTTAAATACAAATTGTCCTGGCTTAAATAAAGATGATCATTAAGGAATATAATATATATCTGTTTTTTATTAACTCTAAAAATGCAATTACATAATACAGTTTTATTTATTTTTTTAATGATAGTATATTTATTACAATAAGTAAAGCCTCATATAAATAAATATACAAATAAGAGAAATTTAAATAGAAAAAGAATAGGTTAAAATAAATGTATAAAATTTAACAAAAAAAATTAACTAAGTAACTTTATAGTTAAATAAAATGCTTAATATGAAAATTCGTAAATAAAATGTGTTTATATATGTATGTATACTATAAACGTTACAAAATTATGATAGGCATAATCTGCTCTGGAATGTGCTAGACACGTCCTTCAAGTTTCTGTATAAGATCATGACATTTTTCAATCACACTATATATAAAAGGTCTTTCCATGGGGTCCATTCGCAGCATATAATTAATAAGGTCGTGCAGGTCCTGTAAGGAAATAAAAAACGTATGTTATTTAAAAATAAAATAAGTAAAAAGGTAGTATTGTTCGGTAAGGCTGAACTTTGTATATCCTCCACGTAAAGATGGACATTTAAAATGTCTAAAAACCGTCGAGACATTTATATAGATGCAAAGCCCAATTGTTCGCCAGGACATGTTTTATCATCTGAGAAGAGGGAATTCTAATTTACAGACTATCAGATTATAAAATTCGATAAGAATTTTCTGCGCATAATTACCCAAAAATACATATTCGATTGGAAAATGCGCCTATTGTCTTGAAAATGCCTAAAAAGGCGTAGCTTATCTAAAATCTGCAATGCCATTTTTCTTGTCACCCACCAAGAACCCGTAATTCCAAATTACAGCCATGCGTCTGGACTATGAAAAAATGAACTAAACTGGGAGAACACATTTATATGGGGGCTATGTAAAGAAAAAGAACCCAGAATGCCAAAATGTAGCCCCATATCCCACTAAAACCACTTTAAAAATGAAAAAATACCCTCCTTTTATATGGGGTCTAGACTAGAACGTGGACCAATATTTCCGATTTTCAATACCAAACATCCCAGATGCCGTAGCAGTTTATGCGCAAAATTTCAAAGTTCTATCTCTGCCAGAATATAAATCCTCCACACAGATTCTTACACATCCAATGTCTGTCACCATTGTGTATAATAGGACTGCTACAACAACTGAAAATACATTACCTGTGAATATATTGAATTTTCCGGAATATTTATGTTGCCACTTAGAACTGCTAGGGCCACACTGTCACCTTTTTCATAAATCGGATCAAAGGGACAGTGGAAAAAGCACATGGCGTATAGGACACAACCAAGACTCTGTGGAAATAAAATTAAAAAAAAATTAATATTTCTTCAAATTTTGGCTTTTTTTTTCTTGACAACCCACCCATATATCTGTTCTTTCATCTACCGTACAATACGATTTAACGGAAAACAATTCAGGAGCTCGATAGACAATTGAACTACGTTCCTCGGCCTCGTCTTGCAAACGCTGCGCTTCACTTTGTCCGCATATTTGCAGACGGGCCTCTGTCATTGAACCCAAATCAACAATAATCGGTTCAAACGAATCCGACAAACAAATATTTGCTGTTTTCAGGTCACGATGTGCCAATGGAACTGGTTTCGATTCATGTATAGCCCTCAAACCTTCACATATGCCCAAGAATATTTGCATAATTTGCGATTCGGGCATAAAGTCTTGCCGTTTTGCACGCATCTGTAGGTGGTCGTGCAACGAACCATGTTTATAATATGGCAGCACAATATACAGGGTACTCGTTGTATTTATCACAATATCCGCTGAGCCCTTAAGCTCATAGTCAATAACTTTTATGACATTTTCCGAGTCGATGCGACGGCAGTTTTCAATTTCTCTTAAAGCTATATTCTGATCATCGATGCTGTGGCAGGTGATCCGCTTGACGGCATACAATTTCCGTGTAATATTATTTTCGGCCAGGTCAATTAAACTGAAACCACTGCAAAAACAACAAAAACAAAAAAATGAAAAAATAGATAACAAATATTAGACGTAAGCATCATGATCTTTAAGTATTATCATATCACATCATGTTTTATTTTTCACAATAGCATGCATAGTAACAATACCCTTGAGCCAGTCGATCCTTAATTGTGTATTTGGTCCCGTTAATTGTTAGCGTTTCTTTGGAGCAAAAGCAACCACGTTTCACTATTAAAGCCCATCCTAAACTATTCATATTTCGTTGAGAGGATATTAATAATTATTTTTTCGTCTACTTTAATTTAGCAACTTTGTTGTTTTTTTCTTAAATTGTTGTTGTAAAAAGTGAAATCATTTACAGCTGTTGTAGGAATCTGTAAATCGTTTTCTGTCCACTAGTGTACTTCGTGATCCCTATTGTTTATGAAGACAACAGTTAAGCAGCCCACACACGCCAAACATGGGCTTTGGATCGTTGAAACGAATGCACAAACATTTGGTCTGTTCCCGTATTGCAAGAATCTACTAGATTTGACTATTTTCTTCGATAACATAAAGTAAAATTCGTTATCGTAGTAAAAAATAGTAGATTCTTGCAGTACGGGAACAGACCAATTAATTTCGAATTTGGTTTTTGTAGCGTGAAGACAGCGACAGTTAGACGCAAAAATGACCGCGATAAATAATACAATAATAAAATCATAATTATCAAAAATCATTGACCAATATTTATACCAGTTATTTGCATAAATAATATATGTAATAATTTAAGCGTAAATGTAGAGGCCATAATAAAAAATATTTTTGCAACACCGCTTTATGTTATCGTTACCTTTTTGTTATTGTATACAAAATTAAAAATAACATATAACGTCAACACCGATAAATGTAAAACCACGTTTTTCAAAGCGAAAAAGTACACACTAGCACTTTTGAGAGGCAGCTTTTTTTTGTGTCGATTACTGACTTTCATCAGAGGCCACACTATCAAACAAGCTAAATTTGGGAGTGTCATTCAAAAGTACTAGTGTGTAAACCGCTTAACTCGCTTTTAACCTGGAGTTTGTTTGTCTATTGAAAATGTCTTGTGTAAACGCTTAATTATAATTGGACTGTATTCACTATCGAAATCAATATTTCCCCGACTTTCGATAGTGTAATCGTTTAATTGTTTTTTTCATCTCTAAAACGCTATTTTTTAATAATTGTTTACATTTTCAAAAGACACCTGAAAATTGAAAATATCAAATAATATGTCCCTGCGAAGTTGTATATATAAAAATTGTCAAAATTTCACAACAACTGGCGATAAAGGTTCACGCATTAAGCCAAATCTAACGATATTCTCCTTTCCAAAAGATCCTGAGAGACGTAAAAAATGGATGGAGTTGGGAAAAGCGCCACCGAATTTACCCATAAATTACTATTTCTATTGTTCGGATCATTTCGATAAACGCTTCCTAAATGTTGGATTACATCGCACCACACTGGTCGGAGAAGCCGTACCGTATGCATACGAGTCGGACAACGAGGAAGAAGTTCTAGATATGAACGATAAGGATGAAGAGTTTGTGAATAATGATGAAGATATCTTTCTCTATCGCATGCGGGATGACAATATCGAACCCATGCAACAAAAAGAACAAGATCTTCTAGTTGAGTCGACAACGACAACAATTGATTGTGGTGGCGGTGATGATGATGATATACAGCTTATAGCCGAAGAACTTGGACTCGACAATAATCAGTTGATATCATCTGTGGTGACAATTGAAAAACCAAACGTTGTCGCAAGGAATTTTGTAGCAAATACATATAAACGGAAAATACACAATACCAATAATTTACAACCATCAACATCCTCCGCTAATAAAATTCAAATTCTTCATGCGGAGACCATACCACCACCACCATTGGCCAGCAATAGAACGAGGATTGTAACTAGCTCCAACATACCAACGTATACAGTAACGAATATTAAACCGATTGGATCAGTTAAACTTGAAAAGGACATTGTGGCAGACAACAATACACACTTTAATGTGTTACCCACGAGGGAAAATGCAAATGATCAGGAATCGAACAATCAGGAGGAGGAAATAGATTCTGAGAAATTAATCGATACTCAACATGTAACATGTTTTATTTTCAAGGGCGAAGAATATGTACAAATGCCAAAAGAATATTATGTCCAGGAAAAATTCGAATTGGCAAAGCAAGTTGAGAAGTTAACCAAAACAATTGATAGTATTAAGAATTTGTTGCAACAGACGACAACGTGAACATTTTTGAATTATGATTTTTTTTTTTAATTTAGAAATTGTAATTAAGAGTTTGTACTTTAATTTACAAAAAATATAAATGTTTTATTTAAGAGAAATTAATAGAATATAGTTTTAATTGAAATAAAAATAAAATATATTTTTTCATTAGTACTTGTAGAGTTTTGTTGGATACATGACGTTGGGAGTGTGGGTGGTTTGTGTGCTATTTGTTGTTAAAATTATATTATTTTTATTTAATGGTAACACAAATTGTTAACAGATATAATTTTCAAAACGTATGATCTAATTGGCATCATGCTAGAACTAAACCTTTAACAATTGACATTTTAAGATATACTTAAATTTGACTTATTTATCTTAAAAACTAACATTATCATGCAATTCCACTTTTTCCTCATCACTTCCACTTAGTATTTCAATATCACTGTCATCGTTCCCCTCCTCATCCATGCAAACATCATCATCATCGTCGTCATCATCTTCTTCAAAAGAAATGCCCTGCATTTTCCTCTTACGTTGCAATAAATCTATCCATAAAAATTGAGTTTCACACAATGGACACTCTCCTGCAATTGGTATATAATGGCCCTTTTGTTTTGGATCTGCCGACAGCATATGATTGGCCAAACAAATTATGTGGCAAGTAAGTTTACAGAGATTATTTAAACATCCAATTCGGGATCTTTCAGCATCTCGTATGGGTTGCATGCACAAATGACATTCTGGTGCCCATATGGCTTTGGGTTGAGATTCCTGATGTTTTTTACTTTGTTTCCTTAGTTCCAATGCTATTTTACCATTACGAATTTCCATGTGATTGGGTGGCCTATATGAAATCTATAATAAAAGAAGATTTTGATACCTTAGTAAAACAATTAAAAGAACACTAGGGCTACTTCATCAATCCACTGGCAAACCTGAATGACATTTGACTTTTTTATACTTACATCAAATTCACATTCATACTCATCCTCTAGCCATTGAATAATTAATGGAAGTCTTTTCCATGGTCCAGTATTCAACATTCGGCTTAAAATACGAAAATTATATTGAAAATATGTTTCCTTGGGGAGTTTACGTTTTAATTCGGGATAGACTTTTAAACGTGAAGACAATGAAGGTTGTTGCCATGCCCATTCAAACTGATCGAATATGGAAAGTACAAACAAATTAGTCTTTTGTCACTATTATTTACAAAAATATTGAGATGCAACCACACAAACCAAAAACAAACATACCTGCAATGCTGATATATTATTGGGAAATCCATGTACAATCATTACCATTTTCCATGGACCTTTATTGCTGGTCTTTTTTGCACCTCCAAAATCTTTACCACGATTATGTTGTTTAATGCGACGATTTGGATTTACCGTAAAACCAATATAACATTTGCCACTATAACGTTTTTCCAAACTATGGCTGCACAGCAGATAAACGCCAAAGAAACGGGATTTCGAGCTATCAACAGAATTGGGTGGCATATTTTAAGCTGAAATAAATAAACGAAAGGAAAACAGCATTTATGAGTAGATTATAAAACTTTCAGACATCTAGATGCATAGGGGTTTCGGGGGAATTCTTCAAATAACATAGTAGTTGTTTCCCTTTCACATTCATAAAGTAATTTGTAGAGTTAGAAAAAGAAACAAATTAAAGATAAATCAAACAAATTTCTCGGAGAATATCCCTAACATATGGCAATCTAAAAGTGATTAATTTCATGTTATTTTTTCATTCCTTTATTAAGACAAGAAACTGAAATAAAGCCATAATATTTTCATATCACAAAAATACCATAATATCCCATAAATAAAAACTCGAACACTAGTGTATTATCTTTTTTAATATCAAAGTTTTATATTTATATATATTTGTTTTTGTTTGTTTAATAAATTAGTTGAACTTTTACCTATCACTTACAAATAATATTATTTGAGAAATAAAAAGAAAGAAAAAAATTAAAATACAAAATTGTTTAAAGCTTAAACTATTGGGTTCTCCTTTTGTTTTCTGTTTGTTTGTAATTACAACAATGGCAATTATTAAATTTTCTGCATCATTGCAGCACCAGTGTTGCTTTGATTTGGAACAATGGAAGAATTCGATGAGTTGCCATTCAATTGTTGTTGCGACTGTTGGCCCGGTTGTTGTTGCTGTTGACTCAACATTTGATTTTGCGATGCATTGCCAGATGACGATACGGTACCATTTTGCATGGTGCCACCAGCACCAACACCACCTATGGCATTTGCCGCTGGACCACTGCCTTGCTGTTGTGTTTGTTGTGTGCCGGTTATTTGTGATTGCTGGGTATCTACCAAACCATCCAAATTCGAACCAGTTGTTGAATTTATTTGACTATTCACATTGCCATTGACAGCATTTAACATTTTAATACGTTTACGGGTGTAGTGCTGCCACTGCAGGATGGCTTGATCATCGATAAATTTACAACATTGCGAATTGACAATTTCCCGGCGAAAATGTTCATATTGCAGGAGATCGAGGAAATATAAACACATGGGATACATTAAATATTTTGCATATTCCGGTTCCTTCCAATATTGCAGGTATTTGAGATAGTTGATAAAGGCTTGATCTTTGAAATAGCCACGTTGGGCCAAAACTGAAATAAACAAGCAAATTATTAAATTATAATAATGGACCGAGCAGGCAATTTCAAACTACTCACAATTTAAATAGTTGGGATTAGCCAAGCACTGAACAAATTCCAATTCCACTTGCCATCGTAATTTTTGTTGTTCCTCCGATTCAATGGCAGCTGCATAGAAAACAAATAGAAATTGTTTATAACAAAAATATTTTCATTGAATTCAAATGAAATAAAACATACATACTATGTAAATATATACAGAACAAAATAATAATAATGGCAAATTAAAATCAAGCGGGCCAAACGTTTTTGTCATTTCTGTTAAATTTTGTGTTCAAAAGCATGAGAATGATGATTTCGTTACTACATAATTTTTTTAAACTACTGTTTTTTTAAAAGCATTTTATGAATAACTTGAATTTTGTTCAAGATATTAATAATACTTACTCTTACCCTTTCCATACATTTTGGCCATATTGCATGGAAGGGTTTGCTTGCGCGCTTTCAGTTTGCTTGTTGCTATTTTTTAATTTAGCAAAATTTGTTCCTTGAGAATTTTTGTGTTTTGTTTTGAAATGTTCTTTTTTCTGTTTGGTATTGGTATTTTTGTGTTTTCAAAGTTTAGTTTCTTGGTTTGGAATCGTCTAGGAATGGAATGTTTCCTTTTTGTGTGAGAAGTAATTTTTGGTGGAGTATAAGTTTTTTGGGAATATATATGTTGCTTTAAACTACTGGCGTTATGATGGCTGTATGTTTTTTGTTTTTTTTTTTTTTACACTTTTAACACAACAAAAACTAAAAAGAATATAAAACGTAAGTTAAGAAAAAAACGAATACCACACTATTTACACAATAATTTAGAATAATAATGGATTAAATATGCATGTAAATAAAACAATAACAAATGGCTATGGGTTTTTGTTGTCGGCCTGGCCGTCCATGTTTTTTAATATTATTCTTGTTATAAAAATGCTGCTTGGAGAGCGAGGAGGAGGCTGAGCTAAAAAAATTGATTGCTGGTGCATATTGAGGCATGTTTTTTTTTGGTAGAAGGATTTTTTTGGGCGAATGTAAATAATACATATGGGGTGTTGGGTGGAAAATTGTTGTTCTATGGTAAATACAAACCGTAAGAGTTCATTAGAATATGAGAAAACTAAATTATTTTCCGTAATATTTATAGAAAATTGCCTGGTTGTATCGTTGTTTGGCTGACAAAACTACAAAAATCTGGGAAAATATGATGGAGAATAGAATTAGTGGTGGCAAAAGAGAGACGATAGCCGAGAGTAATGTAGATATCGATTGTTATCGATAATATCGTTACTCTCTCATATTGACGTGTGGCCTGTGCCATTTAATAAGAGGTTTACACATTGTAAAGGGCATGATGCAATAATAAGTTGATGTATCAAAACAAAAGCCTTTGTTTTTTGTCTCTATATTCTGTCAAATTTTTCCTTATAATATTTTAAATAGTTGGCAACATTGTCCATCGAATTTAAGTAGAAATAATCCATTTTGACAGTTAATCGGGGCTTAAACATCATTCTTATAGATATTCCGTCCCGGACCTATGGTTCCAAAGCGACTTAACTGACTTAACAGTTGTTTTGGCTTCGGGCCAATTCTCCTCTCAAAAAGTAATTACTTCTTTGAAGTGGTACCAAGTACCCAAATACTCATTACATTCACAACACAAATGCAATACTGCCACAGAAGCTGCTGATTGACGGAGCATTTGTGTGCGGATTTATTTCAAGATAGGTTTAAATTTAGAAATTTAAACTGAATATATAAAAAAAATATTGTAAATACAATTTTGAAAAATGTCTGCTGTAGCCAAACCGACGGTAAGTACTTTGGAAAACATTTATTTCCCAAAACAAATTGAAAAGTTCACGAACCTATTTCACGACTAGCCATCAACAAGTGCTGGTAGCAGCAGTTCAGCTAATGGTTCAGCAAATCCAGCACAACCTGCTCCACCGGCCAATGTGCAGGAGTTTAAAATTCGTGTACCCAAAAATCTACGCAAGAAACATCATGTAATGCGTTTCAATGCCACCCTCAATGTGGATTTCGCACAGTGGCGTGCCGTAAAGTTGGAACGTGAAAATAATATGCGCGAGTTTAAAGGTGCCGAAGAGGAAATGCCTAAATTTGGTGCTGGTTCCGAATACAATCGTGATTTGCGCGAAGAAGTTCGACGTAAAAAATTCGGTATTATTGCCAAAAAGTATCGGCCAGAGGCCCAACCATGGATCTTAAAGGTAGGTGGCAAAACTGGTAAAAAGTTCAAGGGTATACGGGAAGGTGGTGTCAGTGAAAATGCTGCATTCTACGTCTTCACACACGCTCCCGATGGTGCAATAGAAGCCTATCCACTCAATGAATGGTATAATTTCCAACCCATACAACGTTACAAATCTCTATCGGCTGAGGAGGCTGAACAGGAGTTTGGTCGTCGCAAAAAAGTTATGAACTACTTTTCACTTATGTTGAGGAAGCGCTTGAAAGGTGACGAAGAGGAAGAAAAGGATCCCGAAGAGGTTAAGGTAAAAGGTGCCGGTTCAAAGAAATCCAAGGAACTGAAAATTAGTGAAATGGACGAATGGATCGATTCAGATGATGAGTCAGATTCGGACAGTGATGGTGAGGAAAAGAAAAAGAAGGATTTGGACAGTGATGATGAGATGGGCAAGAAAAAGGGTAAAAAAGGAAAGGATGGTGAAAAGAAGAAGAAAAAACGTGATGTGGATGATGAGGCCTTTGAAGAGTCGGATGATGGTGATGAGGAGGGACGAGAAATGGATTACGATACTGAATCCAGTGAAGAGTAAGTACCAAAACAATAGTAAAATTTAAAATCTTTTATAATAAATTTTTTTACTTACAGTGAACCTGACCCAGAAGCAAAATTGGACAAAGACATGAAATCTGTGGCTGAAGAAGATGCCCTACGTAAACTACTGACATCCGATGAGGAAGAAGATGAAGAGAACAAATCAGATGAATCTGATAAAGATGACGAAGATAAGGAAAAGAAAAAGAAGGATAAATCCAAAGAAGAAAGCAAAGATAAAAAGAAGAGTAAATCTAAAGCCAAGGATACTAAAAAGGGTAAGTTTCAACAATATACAATTCTTTAAGTTAATATTCAAATATCTTGATAATCTTTTTTTACAGATTCATCAAGTGATTTTAGTTCAGATAGCAGTGACTCTGAGGCCGAAAGTAAACTTAAGAAGAAGGGCAATTCCAAACCACCAAGCAAACAGAGCTCACGTTCTGCCACACCAACATTCAATAATGATGCAAACAAACGTAAATTGAATAGCATGCCGGGTGATCTTACCGCTTCGGAAAATAGTAATAGTCCCATTAATACACCATCAAAACGTCCCAAAACGGAATCAATTACCCCCTCATTGCCCTCAACCTTTGCCGGTGTGGTTAATACAAATAACAAAGAGTAAGTCAATTGCTTTATTTCAATATGTAGGTTTCCAATATAAATGATATATCTTTTATTTATTGCACAGTGACTATGGTATTACCGAAGAAGCTGTACGCCGTTACCTTATGCGTAAACCCATGACCGCCACCGAATTGCTAACCAAATTCAAAAATAAAAAGACTGGCGTTTCCAGTGAACGTTTGGTTGAGACCATGACACAAATTCTAAAGAAAATCAATCCTGTCAAACAGACTATACAGGGCAAAATGTATTTAAGCATAAAAGTTAATAAATAGTTATGTTTTCTCTCACTTATTTTATTAACATGTAGTAGTGGCACGCACGCAACACTTGCGCAATTGTATTTGTGATGAAATTATTTTTTAACAAATAAATATTTTATTGGAATTTTAATTACCTATTTTAAATGGTGGAAATCCACGCTTATAGCCCTGATAGTCCTTGAAAAAAAAAATTATTTAAAAAATCCACGCTTATAGTCCTTGAAAAATATTATTAAAAAAATCCACGTTTATAGCCCTGATAGTCCTAGAAAAATATTAATTAAAAAATCCACGCTTATAGCCCTGATTGTCCTTGAAATATATTATTTAAAGCATCCAGGCTTATAGCCCGGATAGTACTTGAAAAAAATAGCCCTTGAAAAATATATTTTTTAAAACATCTACGCGTATGGTGCTGATAGTCCTTGGAAAAATTAGTTTAAAAATCCACGTTTGAAAACCTGATAGTCCTTGTTAATATTATGATCATTAAAAAATCCACGATTGACAAAAATAGCTTCAAAAATCAAACGATAGTCATTTAAACAGTGCCTTAATAAACGATCGTATTTTTAAAAATGGCCCTCCAAAAATATTATTTAAAAAATCCAGAGCGTGCGAAGAATTTTTTTTTTAATATCCATGCTTTTTTTATATGGCATGCAAATATAAATTTGATTTCCATATGAACATGTTTTCCAAATAAATTGTTTTTGGTTATTTTATTATTAAAAAAAATAAATTTACTATTCTATAACTTATTAACTTAAAAAATAAGTTAGTACATATATATGTATTTCCTTTACATATTTTAACAATATCAAACATTAGTCCTAATTGAAGTGGATACCCTCAGAATTGAAGGCCAACAATAGCCGCATAAAATCATCCAAATCCATTGAACGGGCACGGAAATTATCCATATTCAGTTTTGTTAATATACCAATTACCTTTTCTTGCATATTCAGATTTTCTTCAATGGGCTGAAATTTAATGAAAAAAACACATTTAAATAGAACATCATATCTTCTCTTGTTCCTCGAGCCTTACCATATTATTCAACGATAAATGTAATTTATAATTTTTCTCCAACATTTCCATAACCGAGTTTGTCTTAAAGGCAGCGGCCAGAGTTTTATTTTTACGCAGAAATGCAATACGTGTCAAACCATCCCATTCGGTGAAATTCACTGGTGGTGGTGGATTTTTGGGTTCCAAACGTACCACACTGGATTCCACCTTCGGTGGTGGTTTGAAATTATTTTTACCCACTTTCATTAGCATATCTACACGTGCCAATAGCTGGGTATTTATACTCAAACGACAATATAACTTATCGCCCGGCTTGGCCACAAGACGTTGAGCGAATTCCCGTTGGAACATCAGCACGGCGCAACGGAACAATGGTCGATGCAGTAGAAGTTTAAAGATAAGCGGAGAACTGATTTGATATGGTACGTTGGCTATGCACAAATCGAAGAAGGGAAGTTCAGCCTTTAAGAAATCACCGATTAGCATTTGCAGTTTTGGTTGCAGCGGAGTGCCCTGTATACGTTTCTGCAATTCAGCAGCCAGGCGGGTATCAATTTCACATGCCACCACTTTTTTACAACGTTCCAACATACGAACTGTCATGTTACCAGTACCGGGACCAATTTCCAAAACAATATCTGTTGGTCGTAATGCAGCCTTTTCCAGCATACTTGTAATGACAAGGGGATTTTTTAGAATATGCTGGCCGAAATCCTTGTTGAATACGATACCTTAGGGGAGAACACAGATTTCAATTATTTTTGTATACGCATACGTATTTTAATATGTTTTTTGATAATTACCCTGCTTTTGGACTTCATTGTGTATGCGAGACTTCTTTTCTGTTTTAACTTTCGGCATTTTTTCTTAATTATTTTGAATTAATTTTAATTTTGTAGCTAAATGTTTGATTCAAGGAACCATGTGGTAATGTTTACGTTTAGAGTATTGTTGACAACAGTTGTCACAGTTGTATATTTAGGTATAAGTATCAGCTGGTAGCGTTGGCGTTTTATCTTCATTTATGTAGTGGATAGACGTGAGGTACTTTAGACTTAATGATTAGAAAAATATGAACATTTTTTGTAGGACTGACTATCAGAGGTCTGAAGCGGGGATTTTTTGAAGAATATTTCTGTATGGCTATCATACCTATCATCATCGTTTATGGAATAATTCAGTAGGTCTATCAGGACTATATGTTATGTTATGTATTTTAATTCATTTAGTTTATTAATTTTTTTATTGGCCATATTGGCTTTTTATATTACATTGGAAGAAATAAATGAAATGATTTTTTAAAGAATAGTTTTGCAGAACTATCAGGGCAATATGCATGGATTTTTAAATAATATTTCTTCAGAACTATCAGGGCTATAAGCGTGGGTTTTTTAAAGAATATTTCTGCAGAACTATCGAGGCAATATACGTGGATTTTTTAAAGGATTTTTCTCCAGAACTATCAAGTCCATAAGCGTGGATTTTTTAAAGGATTTTTCTGCAGAACTATCGAGGCAATATACGTGGATTTTTTAAAGGATTTTTCTGCAGAACTATCAAGTCCATAAGCGTGGATTTTTTAAAGGATTTTTCTGCAGAACTATCAAGGCCATAAGCGGGGATTTTTTAAAAAATATTTCACCAAAACTAGATAAAATTATCAGGAACTTAGGCGTGGATTTTATGGAAGGATTATTAGTTCTATAAGACAGGGTTTTATTAAAGGATTATCTGTTAAATAAGCGTGTATTTTATTAAAGGACTATCTGGTCTGTATGCGAGGATTTTAATGAGGGACAGTTTTATAACCTAGATTTTTAAAGCTTTTTATTGAAAGACTATCAGAGGTTTGAGCGTGGATTTTATTTAAGGAATATCTGGTCTGAAAGCGTGGATTTTATTGAAGGTTCCAAAAGTCTCGACATTTAAAGAATTTCCTAAAAGCCAAGATTTTAAAGAATTTTATTGGAGGACTATTTTATTAGGTCTATGAGCGTTGATTATATTTAAGGACTATCTGGTCTGAAAGCGTGGATTTTATTGGAGGACTATCTGGTCTGGTGGAGGACTATCACTTCCAAAAGCCTGAATTTTTAAAGAATTTTATTAAAGGTCTTTTTTATTAAAGAACTATCTTTTATATAACCTGGGGTTTAATAAAGGAATAACTGTTCTATAAACTTGTTTTTAAAGGACTATCTGTTCAATAAACGTGAATTTTTTAAAGAATTTTGTTAAAGTTCTATAAGGCTGTGTTGTGTTGATTTTTTTAGAATTTTATTTTCTGGCAGCAATCACAATAACGCATACAGATCTGCGCATATTCCCTCAAAAAGTTATTTATCTGTCAAACAGTGTTTCTTTTCCCCACCATTCAACAAATCTAGTTCCATGTTGATGCAGGCCACTATCAATGATGTCATGATATTCTTCAATTGAAAACATTAAAACCAAAATTTTATACAAGCAGTGTAATTGTTTTTTTATTAAGCATTACATTTATTTTCTCAAAGGCATGTTGCACAAAAAAATTCTTTTGATGTCAAGGTATTTAGGAAATGTATAAATTTCCTCTAAATACATTTGTATTATATTCGAAACAATATGCACACAACTTAAACAAGTATTATGTTTGTTTGTATAAATTAGAAGAAATAAAACTATTATTAATAATATATGTATCTATGTTATGAAACTGAAAGCTAAGACAATGAATATGAATACTTTTTGACAAAGACTCATTTCCCTCTCCCATTTACTTCTTCTTAGCATTGGGACTTGTCGATTGGAATACCGATGAAGCTGACATCAAATTTTCAATATATTGTCCCAATACTTGATTTTCCGAACGTAATTTCAAATTTTCCTCTTTGACCGAGTCAACACGTTGTGACAAATCATCCAGAGTGTTTTGCAACTCCAAAACTTGTGTTATTAGACGAGCTTTCTCCTCTTTTTCGTCTGGGCTTATTTCGGGCTCTAACGAATTGTGAGAATCTGGTGTTGAGCTGCGATTGGTAAATGATGAACGTAAAGAATCCATGGAATGTCCAATGTTATTGCTAGTTTGATGATTATCATCATCGTTAATGATTACTAAAAGAAATTGGTATTTTCATAAATGTGTTAATTTTAACATTTCTTTATAACATCATACCTTGTGGGTCATCGTCAGCCAAAGGGATGGGTTCTTGTTCTTGCAATTTATCGATTAGCGACATCTTGTTTGGTATTAATATAATGTGTGTTTATTATTTGCAATAATGTGTGTTATTTATTTGCCAAAAAAATTGCACGTATTTGGCTAGATATTGAATCTTGTTGTTTTTTATTTCACAAATTTATTTTCTTCTGTTTTTCCTCTTGTTTTCTCACTGTTTCCCATGTATTCACAATTAAAATATTAGTCACATTTATTCACAATGGTGTGGTTGCTAGTTGATTGCGTTACAATAGCAATAGTGCATTTGTGTTGTAGTCTTCAAATGTTTGTAATGTAATCGGTTTTATATTTTTGTTATTATTAATAAATAATGTAGTTAATGCAACATTTTATTTTACAAAAGGTGAAAATGCACGATTATCCATGTAGATGTTGGCAACCGTATAATTCACAATGACAACGGTGTGGTATGGTAGTCGTTGTGGAAAACTGCAAATTGTGTGTTTTAATGGTGGAATTAAATTATTTACTGTTATAATTATATTATTTATTAAATATAGTATGAAATGTTGATAGTTTTTATTTAAATATAATATATAAAGATGTTAGATACATTTAATTTATTTAATTTATCTGATCATTCACAATAATATTTGGTAGTTGGTACAGCGGCATACCCAGCAAAACAAAATGGAAGACGACCTGCAATTGGAGTAACGTTTTAACACATTTTCTAAGATACATTCGAGGGGCATAATTCTTATTCTATAAAAAATTTTATTTCTTTGCTTTCAAAGTATTGATATTTAGAGATTTTTTGATAAGTTTCCAAATTTCCCTACTATAAATTTATTATATCGAACCCACCCACTAATAGACCCAATTTGTTGTAAGTGACGTTTAGAAAACCCATCAACTTGTTTAATGACGGTTATATCTGTCAGACCTATTATAAAAATGCGTTTAGATTTACAAGGTCCGCTAGATCTCAAATGCCAATTCCATAGCGTATACGTCAAATATAATTCACTGGATTTGTGAACAGGATTAAAGTGACATACATGCTATGGGATTGGCATTTGAAATCGAGTAGATTTAGTAGTCTAAACGCTCTCTCAGTCAGATTGTGATGTATGACGCAACCTATAGCTTTTGTTGCAATCAGTGCTATAGAGTCGATTTATTTATGGACAAGCGACAATTCCAGCCCCATTTTTTAAAATGACTGCTTGTTGATACCTTTAAAACCATTACAGGTAGCTATGTAAAAGCATGGAAAAAGTGGTTAAAATATTCAAAAAATCCAAAAAAAGGTTCGTTACTTTTATATTTAGGCTTAGTCAAAACCCGGATCTATTTTCGTGTTCAAATTAGTTTTTTTTAACCACCAACATCGAGGAATGTAAATTTACAAAATATGGGTGTGACATTTATGTGGGGGGCATATATAAATGTATAAACATGACCTATTTTGTAATCTTAAAAACATCTTCTGACTTCCGAAAGGGAATTTATTGTCAGCGGCGGGTTTTGTGTTTGACACTGACTTCGATTTAATCAAAATTGATGGACTCCAAAGACATGTGCTTGAATTGAATATTTTGCTGTCAGTCAGTTTGCTGGGATAACAATGGTAAATTAGTGACTTGTTCATGGATCGTACGCGCAAATATTTCTTTGTGGTAAATATATAAAATTTAATTAAAATTTATAAGATTATATAAATTTTTTAACATTATATTAATAAAAATAACTTCATTCTGTAATTCTATATATATTTAATTGTAATGACAAAATATCTGATGTTCTAAAGATAATAAACCTTTCAAATAACTGAGTAACCGGTTATTTAAGCCAAAAACACATAAAAGCGATATGGGTAGTTCAATAATTAATTATTTTTATTTCAATAAAATGATTTAGCAAATGTAGTTCTTAGTAAAATAATATAGAAAAAATCTTTAAAATATATTTTACACATTGTATTCCTATTTATCATATTCCATTCACAATATTCATTGATATGTTATTGTGATTGATTGCTTAAATGTCAAATCGTTTTTTGTTATTGTTTGTGCTCATAGATAACAGTCAATCAGGTTCATCTCCTGCATTTCGTTGGTCATTTTTTAGTTTTATTCAGTAAAAATAAATAAAATATTGAATATATATCAAAGAATATTGATATAATAAAGACAATTACACGTAGTTTTGGTTTAAATAATTTATTTACATTAAATTCTGATCACCTGCCAAGGTTTGTATATTGTATTTGTTGTTGTTGTTATAGTTGCTGTTTAATATGTATGTAACATTTGTGAAATGCAAAGTCGTCTTTTACGTGCATTTTAAATAAACTATGGTTAAATAAATTGTTATTTGATTAAAAAAATAAATATTGACATTGAAATAATCATATTAAGCAATTCTTTATATTTTCCTAATTTATAAATATTATTTTAGGTGTTTTTACAATTCGATACAATTTATGTAAGATGATTAAATGAATGAATTTTAGAAAGTCAGCATCGTGTACAATTAAAAACAATGAAATGTAGTAGTAACAATAATTAAATGTAGTATATTTAACATGATACATAATAATTGTTACTATTCTTGCATTTGCCATTGTTAATTTAAGTATTTTATTTTTTTTCTTGTTTCTTGAAATACGAATGATCGTCGTAATGTTAGAAGCAGCATCCTTTTACACATCTTTATGGTATTCTCTAGTCCGGGATACTTATTACATTATTTGTTATACATGTCACAAGAAATGCAATGGAATAGTTGCTTTAATTTTTTATGGGTTGTGTTTGTGATAAGCAAATCCATGGTTCCCACATAGGAAAACATTCGTAAAGGAATACAATTAATATTAGATTCTGGTATTTTCTGGAAGATATTAATTTTTTTATAATGACTAATATAAAATATTTGCTTTCCAAACCTAGATTTATACTATTTATTTAGGATTTCATTGAGCTTCAAATTATTTTAAATGTGAGGTCAGGAAGTCATTATAAAAATAAGAACTTCTGGGGAGTTTATATTTTGGTTGCCACTTCGGATTATTAAGCATGTAGAAATAATGGATAGCTTCGTACCTCAATGCCTTGCTTGAGTTAGGAACAGTTGGATGACAATTTTTCTATTTTTAACACATTTTTCTTCTTTCTAACATTATTAGAAAGAGTAATAATTTTGGACAATTTTACAGCATTATGACGCATTCCTAATGAAAAATATCACTTTTCATACCAAACTGTAAAGGAGATTGCCCTAATAAAGAATGTTAAGGAAAGAATTATATCAGTATTATATTTTATATTTAATATTATTGACTGGAATGTTGTTAATTGCAATGTGGTAATTTTATAAAGATCTTGGGAGATCTTAACCTACTTTTCTATAAAATATATGTCAAATTTTGATAATCTTTGGAAAAAAACAAATCATTAGAATTAAAATATTATGTAAAGCTATACATATTCCTTTCATTTCATCTCTACAATTAGTTTAATTCAAAAAATTCCCATTGATTAAAAACTTAACCCTAATAATAAATATTACACAAGACCTTTAGATTTTTCGTATGCAATCAGCAGCCACTTGTGCTTTTTGTGGAACTTCAAGTTTTCTATAAACACTAGAAAACATTTGATTATATTAGCATTTGAAGACCTTTAAATCAAAAAATGTATACCGAAGATGTTTATGTTAGCTATGGACATTAGACAACTTACCTTCTTCTTCAATAGAAGTTATGAGACCTTTTAAATATCTTTGGTTTATTAAATACGTCTGGATCTTCATTGGAACAATTTCTATAGATTGTTAATTACAAAATCTTTGGACTTTGGAATTATGAAATAAACAACCTTTGGGGGTTTCTTTTAGATAGCACTCTGTAGACATTGAAGCTCTAAATTTGGAATTCAAAATAATTCTAGAAACTTTAGACAACATCTAGGATTTTTTTAGATCATAGCAAGACTCTGGATCTTGATTAACATTTGAAAACCTCTATATGTGTAAATGTATGCTAAAGCTACTTTGGTCTTCTGTTACTTTTGAGTGCTTCTTTGTTAGCTATGGACATTAGAACACTTACGTTAGAGGGTATAGTAAGATTCTTTCGTCATTGAATTAAGAATAGGTCTTTCAGAGTGCCCTTTGCAAGATGACAGTCGGACATACATAATCAGTATCCCATGTTCTTATTTAGACTGATGGTTTTGTCTGAATATGGGTATATTGACCATACCAATTTAAATTTCCCTTTTTAATGAAATTCCCTACTAAAATGCATAGCTACCTTGGAAACTAAACCTCTCGTTGGTATTATCGCAAGCCGAATTTTTATAAAATAATTGAGTTGTAAATATTCCTTTCTTGCTAATTTTCTATTCGATTTTTGATTGGGTCTACAAAAATTAATATTATCTTAAAATGTAAAACCCTAATTATTATCCCAAGATCTTTCAAAGAAAGCCAAACATTCATTGTACCAATAAAAAAATTATTGAGTTTACGAATTGAACTCCCAACAAAACAATTGACAGTTTACAATATGGCATTGCCTAGCGTCTTTTTGGGTGTTTTTCTTTTACCATGTATCTATTTATATTATTTGTTTATATTAATTATGCTTAATAACTTATTTATATTTAAATTATTAATATTGATTATAATCAATATTAAGCTGTTAAAATTTCCTATATTTGCTACTTATTGGGAGTGGACAATAAACGCAGCATGTTGCTGAAAATTCTATTCACAATAACAAAAAATATATCCAACATAAATGTATTATATTAAAAAATCTATTTCTATTAATTAATATAAATTGTAATAATTATATAATTACAATTTACTATATTTCAATTTTTAAAAGAAATAATTTTTATATATAAATAAAATCTCATAATGAAACAGTTGTTTTGTAATATCAATACAACAACAAGAACCTTTCATTATAATTATTCTGTTTTGTTTTTGACAGAAGAACTGTTTCCTCCTTGCTGCTGTTGTTGTTGTAAAAGAGATCTATTGAAGTGTCTCTTTTTGGGCATTGCAGAAAAAGGGTAGTGAGTGCGAGAGGGGAGCCAGTTGCTTTTTAAAATAGATAAACAAATATAATTTTTTGTATGTTTAATACAGTTATTAAATATAAATATTTTTATTTAATTTTTTTTATAATTGACATTTTTAGCCATTTCGAATGTTGTTTGTTGGTTGTCTCTTTTATGTTAAATGTATTGGTATGCAGCAGCAGATGATTTGTTACGAAAAAATACAACCCTGATTTGCCAAAAACAAAAAACCAAAATAGGAAACAGAGTAGTTTTCATTTTCATTTATATTTGTTGTAAACAAGCAGAAACAACTTCAGTTTCATAAGAAGTTCTATAAATAGAGTTATAGAATTAAATAAATTGTTAAACAATAAACTAATATCATTTTTAATAAATTGAAATTATTATAAAAGTAATGGTTTTTTAAACGGTGTTGCTTTTTAGAACGTTATTCACGACACGCTTTTATGTGACGTTCGTGGTCGTGCCTGCCTGCCTGCTTGCTGGTGGTCGTCGTTTTGTTATTCATTCACAATTGGCAACAACAAGAAATCAAAAAAAAAAAAACACACATCCTCATACTGTATTCTCAACTGGGACGGACGTCGGTCGGCCAGTCGTTCGTTTGTCCTACTCGCCAAAAGAAACAATAAGCCATAATCATTATTATCATTCCCATCAAGAAGATGGGGAGTTATAACATTTTTTAAATAAAAAAATAAATAAATGAACTGATAACCAAAAAAGTGTGTGTGGAAAATCCAAATAACAAAAGTCTAACATAGAAAGCAATTCAGTTTCCATTGTGCTGAAAAATGAATCCCCAAACACAAACTCAATTTTTTATAACTACAGGGATGCCATCAGTATTGGCTCCAGCGCCAACATCTGATCAACGCCTCATTACAACAACCCCAACATCTTTGGGGACATCATCGGCAACGCCAGCCCTAATCTCAACAAATCCTTCAATAAATCATAATTTGCCCGCAACATTAACCACCAGTTATGTTCCGGTCTTGCTGACAAATCAAACTCTAATTACAAATATTGAAACGTCGTCGTCTTCTTCACAACAACATCATCACCAAACTCTTTCTTCATCCGCATTAATGAATGTAACAAGTGCTGTTAATGCCAACAACAACACCACCAGCAATATTCCATCATTGATGTCTTCCAATACGGGTGGTGGTGGTCATGTTACTTATGTTGTGACAACACCACAGACACAAAATTTTGCTCCACTATTATCCTCGGGTCAAAATGGTACGGTTAGTGTGCTATTGACAACAGCAGCGGGGCCAGTGGTACCAAATACAACAAATTCATTGGCAACATCTGGTAAGTTGTTGTTATTTCATTCATTTTTTTCCGGATTAAATTATTTTCAAAAAAACAATCAAAATGTTATTATTTTTATATTATGTAATATTTTTAGAATATAGGTACTATATTACAAAATTAGCATTGTAACTAATATCGAATAGCAAAAAACAATATGACTCTTGGCCATATAGCGAAACGTGTGATACAAAAAAACAAAACATACAAATAAACTAAACATGTGTAGATTTTTTTTCATTTGGGAATAATTAAAACAATATTAAGAACTACAAAAAGATGTTTAGAATTGTTTTAATATTTATATAAATATATACTTATTATGGAACTATCTGTCTTCTAAGCCTTTCATACAATCAACTGGAAAATGTTTGATAATTCTTCTTCTTATTTTTTTTTTTGTAGCTACCAATATTAATTTTACCTTTTCATAATTAACAATATTCCCTCTATATATCAATAATATTATTTTTATTTATAATAATTTAACTTTTCTCTTTAATTCAAATTATTAACAATTTCTTTCATTTTCTTTAAATTTCTTTCCTTTTTGTAATTAACCATACAAAATGAATTTGCAATCGTTTTATTTTCGTTTCTTCATATTTTTTGTTTGTGTGTAAAGATATGTTGCGGGATTAAGGTGACCAGCTCATATCTCAAACTATTCACAATGCTACTGTTTGACATGTGTGATTGAACTCGACTAAAATGAGTTTTTTTTTTCAAATCATTTTAATATATATATATATATATTCTGCTTACCCCTTAATTGTCGTTCGCTATAAAAAGGAAAGCAGATGACCCGTAAATTTCTTATTTAAACTTTTAATCACAATAAAAAAATTTATACGTACGTGTATATGTTTATTATGTCCAAGGTCATATTTTAATAAGCAATCGGAAGCGTTTGAAATACCCCCATCAGGGTTACCTTTATGTTTTGACCTTTTTATACCCTCCGACTCTTTGTGCAACTTTTATCCTTGTTTTGTTTCGTTCTATTTTCCTTTTTTTGAGTAAATTTTTCGTATAAATCGTTTTTGAGTCCCAAGGGAATTGGGCTAGTTCTCGGAACAGTTTTATTGATTTTTTTTTAACTTACTGTATAGACTTTTCCCAGTAAGCATTAAAAAATACAACTACCAACCCTGCTCTCTCGATTCAGTCACTTTTACTGGACTTTTACGTAAACGAACATATATATATTTTTATATTTTTGTAACTCAAAAATTTCGATAATGCTTTACAGCTGGGCTTTAGACAGCAAATTACAAATAATAGATTTAATAAAATAATTGTTATATTTTAATTATTTTTTAGTAGAAAATTGTAAGTTAACATCCATTTCTGCTCCCTCAATTCATTTTTTTGCTGAGCGTCTGGTAACAGAACTAAAAATCAGCTGATTTAATTCAGAAATATTTACTGAGTTCGTTTTTGACAGTAAAAAATGGCCAATTCTCTCAAATATAATCTCTCAATTTACTCTATTAAGAAATATTAGGTTCGTTCGTTAACTTTCCCAGTAAGATTTACTCAGTAGAAATTTGGATATATATGTATGTATGTTTTCCACCAAAATATATATCTATCACTTACATTACACTCTCACTGGGCGCATTTTTGTTTATTTATTTATTTTTTTATTATTACTTTAATATGGCCACCTTGTTCCTTTCATTCGTTCGTTCCTATAAAACTTGTACATTTGATGATCATGTTGTTGTGTATAAAGGTTTATTTTAAGAAAAGCACCACACTACGTTTTGATTTAGTCGTCGTCTCCACTACCAGTGTTAGTTGTTTCGTATTTACCTTTACAATTACAATATTTAGAAAATATTTTGTTATAGCTTATATAAGTTGTTTGAAATCAATTTTTTGTTATAATTATAATTTTGTTTTATATTTACTAGGTCATGTTGCAGCAGCACCACAGCCACCAACAACATCGTTTATAATACGTAACACATCAACACCACAAATTAAAGGCCAGCAACAACAACAACTTCATAATCAAGGTTTTAATACAAAACAACAATTGAATCCCAATAATCCAAATAAAAGTGATTTGACAAAACAACAACAACAAATTAAAAATAATTCCTTAACAAATGTTAATAACATGGCAGCAGTTGCAGCAACAACAACAGCAACACTGGCTCCTGGTACAACATTATTGAAAACATCATTATTACAAAGCAACAACAACAAATCAGTGGGTGCATTACCAACTGCCACAAATTTACAAAATAAAATTAACAATAATAAACCCAAAGCCCAACAATTACAAAAATCAACAATGAACAATAACATCAATGCTGCTTCCCAAACATTATTGGTGAAATGTGATGTTGCAGGTGGTAAAGTGGCCACCCCCAATCCACATACCATTTCCCCAGCTTCATTAATCAACCAAACGGTGCAAAAACTACCACAAGTTAGTCTATTGCAAAATTCCAAATCCAAACAAGGAACTCCAGCAGCCAGCAGTGACATGGGAAAATCTGCTTCAACTCAGCTGATAATTGCTGAGATATCATCCTCCTCCTCGATTAATCCTCATGAAATCAAGGTGGGAAATCTAAATGCCGAAGTGTCTTTGATTAAAAAACCAAATTCAAATAATAAGGATGTCTTAACAAAAGCACAAGCTACAACAACAATAGTTAAAGAAACAAATTCCCTATTAAAACCCATTAGTGGTAGTGGCAGTGAAGTAACTAGAAAAAGGGAAATCAATGCCACAACAACAAGTGAATCAAGTGAAAAACAAGAATCCTTGTTAAAAACTAACAACAACAACAATGGGAACAAAATAAATTTAACAAAAATTCCCCAAAGTCCACGGAATCAACGTTCCCAATCATACAATTGTAACCCAGCCACACATGCCATTCACAATAGTGCTGCAGCAAATGAGCGGCGGCATTCAGAACCTGCCAAGCTACCGGAAAAGGCTGGTGTCGTGGAAATAAATGAAAAAACAAGTAAATTATTGAAAACAAATAATACCACCACAACAACAAATAACAAAAATATGCAACCCCTAGAAGAAGAAGAATATGAAGATGAGGAATATCTTGTAAGTTCAGGAGAAAAGTCGGATAACAAAGAAACCAATGAAAATCAAAAACCAGCAACGGAGCAGAGGGAACAAAAAACCGAAGATTCCCAAGATTCCGATGGTGATGATGACGATGTTACCATATTACCCGTAGATGATTCCTTTACCGAACCCATTGAAATTGATGATGACGAAGAGGAGGAGGACGGGGTTGTAGATGAAGACGAACAAATGAAAACAAATAATATCACCCCCATCAGCAGTCCCACCACCAGGGAAAAAAATAAATGCAATGAATCTTTGTTGTGTGATGAACAGGTCCTTATTAGTTCTTCATCTTCCATATCCAATCAATCATTGGAACAAGCCACCAGCTCATCCTCCACAAGAAATTCTCCCAAAAATGGTATTTCAAATGCCAGCGACAGTATGTCCCCCATTCTAAAGAAATCGCTAACAGAACGCAAGCAGCAGCAACAACATCATCATCCTCTACAAATTGTCAAGGAAGAACCTGTGATGGCAGCACCCACATCATCATCGTCATCACCAACCAACAATTTCTCAGCTGTATTGGAAATGCTTTCCAATTTTAATATGTTAAATTGGAGAGAACGTCTGGGCACTGGTCGTGGTACTGTTATGAAATTTGAACTGAACGAATTCAATCTGTTGCAATTGCACGAGAAAATACCTACGAGAACCAAAACGCATACGGCATTTGAAAGACCCGTTTATGAACGTGACACGTTACATGTTCGTTCAGAAAATGGTGAACCCATCACATATTACACCTGTCGACGGTGTAAAGTTCGTGCATCGGCATTGGATTTTTTGGCACCAGGTAAGTTGGGGGTAAATTTTGAAAAACAGACAAAAGGGGGGGTCCCTGCTTTCATTCGAAGTAGAATCATGGAACGAATGCAGTTCTTTGTAAAGGGGGGAATTTGAGTTATTTGTTTCGAAAAGCCGAAAAGAAGTCTTCAGATCGAATTATAATACAAGACCAGAAGATTTTCTTCCACAAAACTGGGTCTTCTTTTAAAAGAAGATTTATGTAGAAAATGGAAGGTTGTCTTCCCATTACAAGAGCAGAATTTTTCATAAAGAAAGGCATATTTCTCATAGAAGACCCGAACCACTTATTCTCACAGAAATTTTAACCCAATTTTTTTATCTTACAGAATTTTGTTCATTTCATTGTTTGAAACGTGACTGCCGCAAACGACAACGCGAAGACAACGTCAGTATTCTGCGTAAAAAACAGCGTTATTCCAACAACAGCAGCAGCAACAACAACAACAATCCACCACCATTGGCATATATCAATCAACCGAAATTCCGTTGGTCCAACTATTTAAAGGCAAATTACACATCAATGGCTGCACCCATATCTCTGTTCCTCAATCCATTTCCAACGGGTCCTAACAACTTTAAAATTGGCATGAAACTCGAAGCCATTGATCCGGAAAATTGTGCTCTATTCTGTGTCTGCACTGTCGTCGATATACACGGCTATCGTCTAAAGTTGAGCTTTGACGGTTACGATAATTCCTATGATTTTTGGTTAAATGCCGATTCAATGGATATCTTTCCACCGGGATGGTGTGCCAAAACCAATCGTATTCTCCAGCCACCCAAGGGCCATAATGCCAATAAATTCAATTGGCAAACGTACTTGAATAAGGAAAAGGCCATGGCAGCCCCAAGGCATTTGTTTACCCATTTGAATTCGTCTTCCCTGACGCCAAGGAATCCGTTTCAGGTAAGGTTTAAGAAATTATCTGTTTTGGAAGGGATTTTTATGTGTGTGTGTGTTTTTTTTTTTATTTCAGATTGGCATGCATTTGGAAGCAGAAGATCTTAATGACACCGGAAAACTGTGTGTGGCCTCTGTCGCCGATGTCTTGGACGATCGCATACGCATCCACTTCGATGGCTGGGATGATTGTTATGACATTATTGTGGATATTAATTCACCCTACATACATCCATGTGGTTGGCACGAGGGTCGCCATCAATTGGTGGTGCCACCAGATTGTGAAAATTCCGCCTTTAATTGGCAATCGTATATCCGACAACAGGGTAGCGGTCTGGTGGCCAGTGAGGAAATTTTCGTTCCCAGAGAACCGATACATTTCAAACCGAATATGAAATTAGAAGTGGTCGATCCACGCAACTCTTCATTGATACGACCGGCCACCGTGGTATCACACAAGGGCCACCGCGTCAAACTGCATCTCGATGGTTGGCCTAATGACTATTGCTTTTGGCTGGAAGATGATAGCCCCGATCTACATCCGATTGGTTGGTGTGATGCCACTGGTCATGAACTGGAACCACCACCAGGCTTCCAAATGCCGAAACAAAAGATGCCTTGCCCTACCACCGGATGTCGTGGTATCGGCAATGCCAAAAAGCCATTTATGCACGTACATGCCACAAGGGATTGCTGTCCTTATGTACCCGAGAATTGGCGTATTGTAATGGAGAAACCACCACGTTTAAGTTATGATGAAATTGTACGCACACTGCCCAAGTCACACACAGCCAACAAACACAATACTCAGCAAACCAGTCAATCAAATAATCAAAATTCCGCTAGTCAGCAACAACGTTTGAGTGATCAACAAATTCTGGAACGTCTGCAAATGTTGGATAGCATCAAAACCCACAATGTACAACACATGGGAACACAAGAGAAATTCGCCGCCAATTCAAAGGAATTACTGGGCATTCCCTTGCCAAGCAATATCAAGCAAGAAGAAATTAAATGTCCCTCCACCACCTCCTCCTCTTTGTCGTCGTCATCAACGAACAAGAAGAAGACGGGAGACTCAACCGCTTCGCCTCCGCTAGATATTCATCTGGAAATAGCCAAAGAATTTCTATGTGATTATGGACCCAGGCTACAGCACAACTATGATATTTGGCAAAAGAATTTCACCTTTGACACAACAAAAATTAAACGCAACCCATTGACATGGTCTGTCTCCGAGGTGGGGGTATTTGTCGATCTCTATTTGAATTGTCGTCAAACAGCTGCTCTATTCGCCCAGGAGGATATCGATGGACAGGCATTTTTACTTTTACAACAAAACGATTTAACCGAGAGATTGGGAATGAAATTGGGACCCTCAGTCAAATTATACGCCTGTATATTACAATTGAGGACATTGGCTGTAAGCAAATTTAAAACAGCATATCGTAAAACATCATTACAGTAAATATTGAAAAACAAAAACCAAACAACTGCATACAATTCTGAGTGAGAGAAAAATCTTTACCAAAATGAGGTCACTAGCAAAATGCTATATTGTTCATAATTTTTCACACATACATATTTAATTGTCGCAGCGGCCATATGTTAATTGTTACTATTTTCTAAAAACCCTCTCGTTTCCCCCTCTTTAATAGATTTAAGCATCGTGGTCATCGGTTTTTTGTTTGTTAAAATTGGTTTGACTTTTCTTTATTTCTTCTTTTTGATATAGATTTTAACTATAGTAATAGATAGTTGTACTATAAATAAGTTTTTTTTTTTTTTTTTTTTTGCTTTTTCTTATTCAAGTTATAGTTTAACGGTTAAACTATAACGGATTTTTCTTCATAGATTTTAAGTAACCTACAAACTTTACTACAGGGTTTAACCTGTAATAAAAAACACACACATATATTGAAAATGAATCAATAATAGAATGAACTAAGTAGTTAAAAACAAAAACAACAAAGAGAACTGTAAATAAATCTAAAAAAGATGAGGTACATATATATACATTTCAACTACCTATTATACACTTTAAAAATTAATAAAACTATTGATTAAAATAATAATAATTGAAACAAATAATTTATTATCTGGGAGTTTAGATTAAATTATGTGAAAGAAACTGTTATATAAAACAGTTACTCTACTCCTCGGGTGCAAGGGAGTATGAGTACCCTACAAGTCCTATAAAGAAGAGAACGATCGTAAAACCACTGTCATGGCCAAATCATAGTGGTCGTCCGATAAAGCCAGATGTTTCCAACAGTGGTGGCAAAATGCTTTAAATTTTGACTTATTGGTATGAGATTATAAACAAAAATGGACCTTGACCACGGACACAAATCCCATACATGAGCATCTATGATCAAATCCCAGACATGAACAGCTATGAGACCAGGGAGACCAGTTTTGCCATTATTGTGAATTTACTTTCGTCATGAAAACGTAAACAATTCATCAGAATTTTTGATATTTAACTTGATAAATAGAAGCTGTGTTCCGATTTCGATTGTTACCTGGAGGAACTTATTAATATATATTGACCCCTATAATTGGGCCATATCACCCCTGCTGTCAAAATGCTTTCTATTTTGAATTAATTATATGAAAACGTACACCAAGATCTATTAATAAGGTTACCCAGCTAGCGTCAGCTGTTTTTTCTTAAGACTATTGTCAAAAATCTGAACTTTGTTTACATTTGGACAATGGAAATCAATTCACAATAATGGATTTTAAAAGAAAACTTGAGAGCATGGCCTATAAATAAGGTCACCAAGGGAGACCAGCTGATTATCGTTACCTCTTAAGTTTGCTGTCAAAATGCATTATTGTGAATTGACTTCCATTATGAAAACGTAAACAAAGTCGAAATTTTTGACATTAGACTTGAGAAAAAACAGCTGTTTTCCGATTTCGATTGCTATCTTGGTGACCTTATTAATAGATCTTGCTTGAGAGGGAGCCGATATCTGATATCCAGCTGGTAACACTGAATGTTTTATGGACCTTGCTTCACACGTCTGCTGTCAAAATACCTTATTGCAAACTGAGTTTACATTAGAAAACGTTCGTTAACCCAGCGGATTTGAATTGTCAATTCCATTGAATATATGTCAAATATTTCCTCATTAAGTAGTTTAATTCGGATTTAATGCTTCTTTAAGTTGCTTGTAAAAATAACTTTGAAAAATAAAAATGTATAAAGGAGCGCGGTGGCATAACAAAAATATTTCTCTGATACTCCTTTGAAATTTGACATTTAATGATAAGGAAGTTAAAGAGGATCGCCTAAATATGGTGATTGGGAATGAGTCATGGCATAATTATGGAAGGTAGTCTCATTTGAGAAATTGATAACTTCTTCGCCTCCGCTATGTGATTATGGTCCCAGGCTACAGCACAACTATGATATTTGGCAAAAGAATTTCACCTTTGACACAACAAAAATTAAACGACATGGTCTGTCTCCGAGGTTGGGGGAGAATATCGCCCAGGAGAGTCAAACTTGATTTTGGGCGCCGTTCTCCTTTATTCTTTTACAGTAAAAAAACAACTTAGCATGCCAAGCCTGAAATCATCTAATGCGTTTCCCCCTTTATTTTGTTTAAAATAAAGTTATTAAGAAAAAAAACATAAAAAATCAAGTTCCTTCTATTCCTATTTTTAGTTTTCCCATTAATTTTACATTTTATTAACTTAAAATGAGTTTTATAATTTTTCGTTTACCGGGAGTTTTTCATTTCATTTGGAAACAACCCTGTTTTTGCAACGAACACAACCAATGACATTCATCAACTCAAATACAACGCTGCACGTCAATCTCTTACAATTTTGCACAGCAATGTATTCGAGCAGCAGTCGTCTAGTTCTGTGTGTTTTTTATTTGGTTGTAATGCCGATTAGATTTTTTCGATGTGTGTTCCCTAAAAAATCGGATTATTTTACAAAACAATTTTAACAAATAAATAAATTCAACAAAACAATTGCAGAAAAACAAAACAATAGTTAATAGAAATCGTTTTTATTAAATAATGTGACATAGAACGCGGAGTGCAAGTGTGTGCAAAGGAAAAAAGCAAAGCAAAAAAACGAAAAAAAACCTGAGAGCAAATACCCATCCGAATTTGACACAAGTAGTGATTACTCTTACGTTTGTGTGTTGTACGGACAACGAGAACAGGCAGCATTTTTCTTTCCGCGTTTCGCTTGCCATATATATATTCGCCTCGTATTTTACTGGTTGTTGGTGTTTTATGAGGTAGACAAGTGTGACAAAATCATTAAAAAAGTATATAAAATATTTTCCTATGGAATTAATGGATTGATTGCAAATAAAATATTGTAAACTGACGAGTGAATTCATTGGCGGTGGTGTTCGATTGTTTGTTTGTGTGCCGAGGTGTAGCGCACTTTCAATTGCCGAGTTCCCACTGTGCGTTGCTGTACTTCTAAAAACATCAACATCACTCACATTTGACAAGGGTTTGTGTTGGTTTATCCAAGCGAAGGAGAGGAAAAACGTCAAGAAAATAAAGTAAAAGACCGCCGCAGAATAATTTGTATATATTCGCCCGGATTTGTTGCGGAAATTTATATATTTTTTAAAGGTAAAATTTATTGTTTTGTTAATTGCAAGAACGAATGTTAGCGTTTTTTTTTTTTTTGTTTTCACATAGAGGGGGGTTCTCATTTTTTTCGTTTTCTTCTTCGCCAGTGTTACCCTACTCTCGGTATTACAATCTCCTCTCTGTCAAACGAAATGTGTTAATGGGCGCTTTGTGCCAAGTTTTTGTGCTATGCCCTCTACTACTATTTGGTACTTTATGCTTTGTGTGTTGTACACCTTCTTTTCTGTATTTTGTCGTTTTTTTCTTTGACTTTTCTGTTCTGTTGGTTGTCTCATTATCGTGAATGTTAAGTCGTTGTGGCTGTATTTTTATATGTGTATTCGTTGTTGTTTTTATTGTTGTTAGTGTATTTCTACTTGCGCATCGCAACGGCGGGAAAAATATTTTGTAAGGTGGCCATACCAATGCAATTGGTGATGATTGTAGGAATCACAGAAAAAAGGGCAAACAAACAGAAATGGAAATTTGTTGGTTGGTTGTTTCGTTGGTTTCTGTTTACAAGAAGAAAAAATACGAAAAATATATATGGGGAGGGAGGCAAATAATATTCATATATGATAATATAACTTCTCGCACATATGTGTACTATATTATTGTATACACACAATAAATGTAATTAAATGAAAAAAAAAATTATATTTTAATAAGCCAATAATTGCAGATGGCTGAAATAGAGAGACATAAAGAAAAATGTGAAAGACAATTTTTGGTTTAAGTCAAATTTACTTGTGTGTGGGAAATGCATACCTCCCGAGATATGGGCATTGAAAATTTGGACACTACTTTTTTAACCAGCCGTCGTATAATTACTACCTTCAAGGCAATATAAATATGGATATTTTTACCACATATAATCCTAAGGGGCGTCATATTTTTCTTCATGCAAAAGTCCACAGTTCCAGAGTTATTGTCCATCGAAGATTCGTATAATTAACTAAACTTATGGATTCCTAGTTCTGTCGCCTAATGGATGTCTTTTTAACGCTGGTGTGTTATGCGAACTCGTGCTCATCAGAGTATAAGGTTTGCAGTCAGGGTTTCAACTGTATTCGAACGGAGCCTCATCGTTACCTTTGCGCTTCGATGAGTATTAGATTTAGTTATCTAGTTCTTGCCTATGAAATCCCAAACCTTTAAAATAAATCCAAACAAAAACAAATTCTTCGACTGATGATAGTGTGGGGTCAATCAAGCGCAAATACCCGGAATATGATATCGGAATCGGACTCGTACTCTTCTCACAAATCTATGAGCGTATGTTTAGGCGTGTCGCAACGGGCGCTAACTGCGGGAAGGTACGACTTTGTGTCGATCATGGTCGACTTACTCACATTTTTTCTACAGAAAAATTTGAGGACAAAAAGTCCAAGATTTTTCTACATAAAAAAAAACTACAAAACCATTTTTTTCATTTTCACAAAACCATAGATCTATTTTTTTAAATGGTTTCCACGACATAGGGGTCTACGATTCGAAATAACCCTAGTTTTACACGGTCAACGTTTGACACATCAGCCCATTGGGTAAAAGCAGTAGGGCTGATACAACAACAACTAGATGTTAATATTTTTTCTTAAAATTCGCGTCTTCCGAGAAATTTTCCCCCAAATTTTAAAATTTTTTAAATATTCCTTCAGTGTCTAATAACTACCTTTTTCTTCTTTTTTCCAGTTAATGTTTAATTATTCCCAATTCTTCACCTATTTGCTGTATAATTTAACGGTATCATGGAGGAAATATCAAGTTTAGATTCCTTTCAAACGGACGAGGCAAATTCATCGATACGCCCAGAATCGGAAACGACACAGCAATCGGCTGCAGGTGGAGGTGATGGTGGTACGGACAAAGACAACACAACAGCAACAACACAAGAAAATGTAGCCGATGAAAATGCCAAGGATAATAACGGTGGTGGTGGTGATGATTTTGATCAAATATCCGAGGGAACATTTGAGGTTGATGAAAATTCACAGGCGACATCTGGTGGTGGGGGTCAACAACAGCAACACGAGCAACAAACACAGCAGGATGAAACTACAGAAGATGGAGAAGGAGGAGGAGCAACAGCAGCCGAGGGTGCTGTAGAAACTGGACATGATGATGAAGGTGGTGGTGACGGTGATGGCGATGCGGATGGAGATGTTGTGGGTGATTCTAATGAAAATACTGAATCGCAAAGTTTCGAACAATTCGATCCAAATGTGGCCACAACAAATGCAGCAAGCGGTGAAGCTGATGAATCCGATATGCTGGGTGGCGCAGATAACACTTTGCCGACACAAAATAATGAAGCTGAGGCGGGTGAGGAGGACGAAGGTGAGGTAGAGGGCAATGGGGAAGAAGGTGGTGGAGATACCACCGAGGATCATGCCATGGATGTTGATGATCAAAACGCCGAGGAAGAAGAGGAGGAGGCCGATCAAGAGAAAAATGGCAATGGCGACGACAATGATCAGGAAGAGGAAGACATGGAAACACTGCAACAGGAATGCGATGATGAAGAGAAATCATCAAACGATAACAATGAGGAGGAACATAAAGAAGATGATGCCACTGAAGAGTCGCCTAAAGACGATGATGCCAGCAATGAAAAGACCAACAAGGATACGACACAAAATGAAAATCAAGATGCCGAGGATGATGGTGGGTGTTCAGAAAAAGGATAATATTAGTAAAATTTTGGAAAATAAACAACTAATTTAATTTCATTTTTAGTCGAAAATGTCCAGGAGCCTGAGGAATCAGATGTCTGTCTAATTCCCGATGACACCGAGTCTACGGTTACCGATGCCGAAAAAGAGCAAGCCATATTGGCCAGAGAAAATGCTGAAAAAGATACGCCAACTGAGACATCCAATGAAAATGTGGACGCTGAAGCTAATGCTGATGCTGGAGAAGCTGAAAACAGACAGGATACAGAGGATAATGCCGAAAAATCAAATGCAACTGAATCGAATGGTAAGTTGACCGTAGCTGCCATTTAATTTTAAAGGGGGACTTGGAGCGAGGGCAGTCTGCAGCAAGAAAGTGTGGACTTACTTTTGACGCTCACTGTATTATTTGTAATAATATTATATTACTAATATTGGTCTATCTTCTTCCACATATTCTTCTATATTTATTTTTATCTTGCAAAAGCTCAAGCTACTAATAAAGCTGGAGCTGAAGCCGAAGTCAATACAATAAATGAAGAAAATCAAGAACGTATTGAAGATAATCAAGGTAAAATTAGTTTTCTATAGAAAACAAATTGTCCCTTACATTTTATTTCTATAGAAAAAAATTGCGTGTTCAAATTTTTTTCTACAGAAAAAATATTCTTCACTTTTTTTAAAGTGTTTCAATGGAATTCCTTTTGGAATGTTTTATACATTAAGCGCTCTTTACATCGTAAGAAATCTTTTAATTTGCTTTACCATTCCACTTTTCCAGAAGCAAATACTGGCGAATCCGAAGAACCTTTACTGGAGGAAATGCACAGTACAAGCGAGACGGGTACCAGTACAAAAACAATTATATCGTGGATTGTAACCACCCTGAAAACATGTGCCCAATGCAGTGAAGAGAAAATGTGCGGCTTTCGTTTTCGTTATCCGGAAACAACAGAGGTGGCGTATCTGTGCAATCACGACTGTTGTACCGCCTTCCTTGATGCCAATGCGGGAAAATATTTTATCAGACGTAAGAAATTCTTGGTCGAAGAACTGAACAGCAGCAATGAGGCTGACAAGGACGATAAGCATGACTGTCTGCAGTGTAAGGAGTCGAAGACGTGTAAATATTTCTTCAAACAAGACGATGATACTTTCTATATTTGCAACGATGATTGTTTTAATCTCTTGAGCTCCGAAGAACCTGATAAGTTCAAATTGAAAAGACATTCGATACGCGTGCGTAATATTGGTGCCACAACAATTTCCAATGATAATGGCAAAAAATCCGGTAGTTCCGAATCGAGAGTTGTAGCCCGTACCGGAGCCGAAGCGGAAGCGGCCAGACTTGAACGCGCCGCCAGTTTTGTACGTCGCTGTGCTGATTGTTTCTCCGAAATTACCCTGGGCGAAAAGAATCTAATGTGGGAGACCATGGACTTCTGCAACGAAATCTGTTTGGGCAAATATCAGCGTACGATTGGTGCCAATTGTCAAACTTGTCACGGTGACGTACCACATCCTGCCTTGGGTAAATACTGTGTACGTTTTGGTTTCGATATACGGCAATTCTGTTGTGCTGCCTGCCTAAATGAATTCAAGAAGGGTTTGAAAACATGTTCCTGTTGTCAAAAGGACATATCATCGGGCAATGAGGGTTTCCTGGCACCGGTCGGTGACAAGGAACAATTTAAAGATTTTTGTTCGCAGGCTTGTATGCGTCGTTACGATAGCATTGCCAATCCGAAAAAGAAGTTGCGCAATGACATCTGTGCCGTCTGCAACAATGACAAGCCGGTGCGCGTGGAAATTATTTTGGACGACAAAGAGCACAATTTCTGTTCCAATCCATGCTTTTCGGCCTTCAAGTTTGTCAGCAACATTGTGGCCGATCAATGTGGCATGTGTTGTAAATATTTTGAGCGCAAAGCCACCGAATCCTTCACCATCTACTCCGAAAAACGGGCCAAGGTATTCTGCACACGTGTATGCTTGAATATATTCATTGTGGTGAATCGTCGCATCGTCTCCTGCCAGTGGTGCAAAGTGAAGAAATATAATTTTGATATGATCCTCAAGCAACAGGATAATCAAGAAATACAAATGTGTTCGCTGAATTGTCTCACCCTTTATGGAGTGTCGATAAATGCATTTTCTCGAACCGTGACCAAATGCGACAATTGTAATACCATGGCCACACCGCAATATCATTTGACAATGTCCGACGCGTCAATGCGTAATTTTTGCACATATCAATGTGTTATGCAATTTCAAAGTCAATTTGCCCGTGCCCCGCTCACATTGGAGAGTGATAGTAATGCAGCTTCGACGACAAATGTAAATAGCAGTGGTGGTGGGACGGGATCAAGTCACACGAGTAGCAGTAGTACGAAATCCGCATCATCGGGAAAGCAGAGTGCACCATTTCCAACTGGTCTGCCGAAACGTGTTAAGTTGAAGGGAAATCAACAACAAAAGGGCAGTGTAAGTACCAAGATTGTTTTTTTACAGTATATTTAAAAATCACATGAGATTGTTTTGAAGAAAATATGATAAATGCTCTTTATAAGTTTGTTATTTTATAAAACTTCCCAAAAATGTTAATTAGGAGACCATTGGCATGTATCCATGTCAAATTAACATGTACCATTCCCATTACCTGCCAATTGAAAGAGGGATCAACCCTCAGCTTTACGGTGATTTATTAATATTTTTTTATAATTTTCCTACAAAACACTCATATTTCAATGACAATTCCATGTTGTGAATGAAAATGGGGCAAATAGACGATGATAGATCATTCACAATAACTTAAAATGAAGAAGGCATATTTTTATGACCGTTTTTTTTTATAACAATACTCTACTCAATAAATAGTTAATAATATATAATTAAAAATAGTTTACTACATATTGAACATACTTTTAATTTTTCTTTGTAAACAATTCTCGTCCATTTAATTTTTTCTACATTTCACACTTGTTGTTTTCGCCTCATATGGTGTAAGAGCGAATTTGTCCCTAATTCACAATAACACACAATGGATGGACGATCAGATCCAAGGTAGATATACAAGGTAGCCGCATCGGCGAATTTCTACAACAAACATCGGTTGTTGTATTTGATATGTTTCTTGTAGAAAATGTTAATAAAAGTATTGCCAAAAAAGCTGTTAGAAATTCGGAGATTTTCATTTATAATTTTGTTTTTTTAATTTTTTGGTTCAACATTACAACAACATTTTTGACATTTATTTGTCCAACAGCTGGCCCGATGCGGCTACCTTATTAAATATACCTTGATCAGATCTTTGTTTTTCTAAAAATTTTAAAAAATTTTACTACAGATTTAAAGTTATTTTTGTTCTTCCTTTCTTCGCTTTCTTTTGTTTGTTTGCATTACATTTTTTCCCTTTACTGCTGAGAGAAAGAATTTGTCTCTCACATGTGTTGTGTCATATGCCAAATAAATGATGATGGATTATTCATAATAACTCACAATGGACCTTTGTTTTTTCCATAAAAATAATTAAAACGCTTCTCATTAAATAATGCATTGTTAATATATAATCATGATTTAAAGTTAATCACACACTTAAATATTGCTATATTACTCTTTGTTTCCCCTTTGCTGAGAGAGAGAATTTGTCTATTTCCCATGTGTGATGTTATCCGTAATACAATGTCTACAGTGGCAAACGCTCTTTGCATAAAAATGTATCATGGTAACCCTTTCTTTGGTGCACTTTGTAATAGATCAATGAATGACATCTGTCATCTCTTTCACTCCTACGCAGAGCATAAAAGCGCTCCTTTTTTCAACGAACTTTCAAATAGAAAAGAATAGCTTAAGGAATTTGTTTCTTTTTGTTAATATTTGCCATCATTCGAATTAAATTTTCTTCTCTCCCCTTTTTGTTTTGTTTTTGAAAATGCCTTCCTCAAAAAAGGTTAAGCTTCAAACTAAAACAAACTCCTCGGCTTCGAAGCAAAAACTACCCACAATGCCGGTTATATCAACAGTCTCCTCATTGGCCAGCGGTGAAACTGAAACAATGATTGGTAATGTCACAGTGAGACGTACACGAATAAGAGGACGCAAAACCGACTCTCCAACGCCTCCTGCCTTGCCGCCAACACCACCTCCCATGGCAAATAATCAACAAAATCAAAGTCAGTCATCATTGGGTCGTCGGCAGCGTAAAGCGGCAGTAATTGATAGATCATTGACACCATCACCGCCCAGACTGGCAGCAGCATCGAGGAAAAGTGAACGCGGTACTACTGCGGCATCGAGTACTCCGGCAGGCGCTTCTGCCACTTCTTCCGGTAGTGTGGGCGAAAAAGTTGTTGAAAAAGTGTCTGTACAAACGGAAACAAAAATTGTGGCAGTACCACCCTTACCACCGGCAGTACGCAATGTCCAAACCAGTTGTAAGCCACAAACCATAACTGTTGGTTTCCAAACCGAGCCGAAAACCTGTACAGTGGGTACCCAAACCGACAAGGATTATTCGAATAAAGTTTTAATACCAGTACCGGTACCAATATTTTTGCCTCAACCCATGTATATGTATTCGGCACCCTTCCCAGTACCAGTTCCTATCCCCCTACCCATACCGGTGCCCATTTTTATACCAACTACACGTAATTCAGCTCAGGGTATTATGAAGGAAATCAAAAAGATTCAAGATAAAATGCCAGCCGATCCATTTGAGGCAGAGCTGTTGATGATGGCTGAAATGGTGGCGGAGGAGAAACGTGAATCGGATTCAGATTCGGAGGATGAAGTAAAACCAGATCCAGCTGTGGTCTCACTGCAATATAACAATAGTGTGCAACAGGTCGATGTTGCCAACAACTCCTATGGCGAAGATGTGCTACAGATGGCACTCAAAATGGCCACTGGGGATTATGATCAACCCACTAGCACCATCGATTTGGAATCGGCAGTGACTGCGAATACAATTACCAATCCTCCGCCGGGTATTGTGCAGCATGATGACTCCATGTCTCACATGAGTGGTCATCATATGCAACAGCAACAACAGCCACATCATATTATGGATGCACAAAGGTAAGGAAAACAAAAAAGTGTTGCTTCAAACTAGAAAAAGAATTTAATTTTAATTTAATTGTATATTTATTTTTATTTGTTTCGGTTTAGGGGTGGTCGTGGCCGCAAACGTGGCGCCGTTGTCTCCTTGGTATCACCTCGCAATAGCCGCTCACCTGTCAAACGTCAACGTATCGATGAAATGGAACCATCACCGCAACCGCCACCACAACCCATGCAACCGGTTGAAAAGCCCGATGCCAATATGTGTTTGAAATTCACATTTGGTGTCAATGCCTGGAAACAATGGGTTATGACCAAGAATGCCGACATTGAAAAGAGTTCCATGCGTCGACGTCCCTTCAAAACGGAATTGCTACAAATGACAGCCGATGAGCTGAACTATTCGTTGTGTTTGTTTGTCAAAGAAGTTCGTAAACCAAATGGTACAGAATATGCACCCGATACTATATACTACTTGGTGTTAGGTAAGTGTTATTTGTGGGAATTTGTTTTCATAATTTAATTTTTTTTATTATTAGGTATCCAACAATATTTATATGAAAATGGTCGCATCGATAATATATTTACTGATACCTATTATGAACGTTTTACCGATTGTTTGGATGAAGTTGCTCGTAAATTTTCCGTGCTATATAATGATTCACGTAAGTTTTAAATTTTTTCCTTTAAATTGTTAATTGCTGTTTACTTATTTGTTCTTTTTCTTGTTTGTTTCTTTTAACAGAATACATTGTCACCCGTGTTGAGGAGGAACATTTATGGGAATGCAAACAATTGGGTGCCCACTCGCCGCATGTTCTATTAAGCACCTTAATGTTTTTCAATACAAAACATTTTAATTTAACAGTAAGTGTGTTGTAGAGATGTTTTTTTTTTTTTAATTGAATTTAGAGGAATGAAGGATAATACGATTTAGAGGAATAGACGCATAATTGGTCTCCTCCAGAGTTAATTTGCTCTTCTAAAATATGACCTGTTGTTGGTCTCAAAAAAATGCACACTAAAATTATTATTTAGAACTTATTTTCTCCTCTAGTGAAACTTTTTGGATAAATACAGGAAGATATTTTGCTGTCCTTAAATATCACCTTCTTCTGGACATCTAAAAGTACAGCTTTCAGGTGGTGTGAAAATCGTATATATAGCTTCAGGCTTATGTCTAACAAGGGTATATACACTTTCATACTTTGAAAATGTGCCTCATTGAAATATATTTTTACCTTACGTAGATTATGTCCGAAGAAGTACACCGACCTTCTTCTGGTAATTACCACACAATGGGTTAAACTTTTGGAAATTTGTTGATCCAATAATAATGGTGTGAGGTGTCCGATTTGATCCATATTGTGCACATGACAATATTTCTTTCAAATTTAATTCAAGTTGGAAGATTGGACCACCGCTCGGTGCACTTCTTCTGGTAACTCGCACACAAATGCTCAATATTTTGTTGAAAATCAAATTTGCAATATCATGCGATTTGAATTAAGTTTTGCATAAACTAATATTTAAAGCATGGGTGTGTACAGATGAAAGATGATACTTATCGGTCCATTACTTCTAGTACCTTCCCCACAAAGGGTCAAGATTTTGTAAATCATATATGAAACTTTGCACATGGTAAATATATAACAGATCAAGCTTGAAGATGGGACCCATAGGTCCACTCCTTCTGATACTTTCCCCCATTTATGTCTCCTTTGGGTTTTTATTCTGTAATACTTCGATATTTAATTCATTTTTATTTTCTTCTTCCCCATAGACGGTTGAGGAACACATGCAATTATCATTCTCACACATAATGAAACACTGGAAACGCACCGGACAAACAGCTAAAACACCTGGATCACGTAATGTTCTATTACGTTTCTATCCACCACAAGCTGGGCTTGGTAAGTAAAAATGTTCACTTTAATAATGAAACTAAATTAAATTGATTTTCTACTTTCCCACCAGAAGCGAATCCCAGGAAAAAGAAAGTTTACGAGCAACAAGAAAACGAAGAAAACCCCTTACGGTGTCCCGTACGTTTATATGAATTCTATTTATCGAAATGGTATGTGCTTTTTTGTAGAGGTCACATTTTTGTTTAATTTTAATTAATTTTTCTTTTTTTTCATTGCAGTCCTGAAAGTGTAAAGACCCGTAATGATGTCTTCTATTTACAACCCGAACGTTCGTGTGTACCCGATTCTCCCGTTTGGTATTCAACCCAACCCTTAAGTCAGGAATCTTTACAGAAAATGCTGCATCGTGTTAAAATGGTTAAGGAAATTAATATTGCCCTATTGACAAGTTAATCATTGATGATGATGACAAGAACAAAAACATTAATATTGTTTTAAAAATTATCCTCAACCCCATATATACATACAACAAATCAGTACACCAACGAAGAACCAGTTGAGTTTATTTTTGTATCATGAAGATGGAACATAACCCTTATAAAAAAATTGCTGCTTAAAGCCAAGCAATGTTTTCTCTAGATCATAAAAAAACTACATTTTATTAAGATTATTATTTTTTGACTCAAAAAAACATTAGATTAACAAGATGTATCTGAAGATGAATATACATAATGAAATATATATATAAATAACAATGAGATATAAATATTTGAGTATGGTACAATTTTTGTACAATTTTCAATAAAAAAAGAAAAGAAACACGGACACATACACAAAACAATTAAAAAAATATAAATAAAGCAAAACACAAATTTGATATTTGTAATGTTAATAATAAATGGGTTTATTTTATCTGTGCTCTATTATTATTAGCCATACACATAATATTATTTATGATTTGTTTGGGGGGGTTTGAAAGTAAACCTTTTTCAAAGTGCATAGCACACAATTTTTCCAAAACATGGAACACCATATATGTACAATTTCCATTTGTTTTCAAATTTCAATCATTAATAATTTTTGCAATGCACATTAGGTATTTGTTTTATTGTTTTTTTTTTTTTTCTTTACACAAATAAAATTTTTTTCAATAAGCATTCTAGTTTTTTTTTAAGTCCATTATTGCTAAGGCACAATTCACATACATTATTTTTGAAATTTCCTTGGCAAAAGGAATTGTTTAAAAAAAAATAATAACATTTTGAGAACGCCCTACTCTTTTTTTGTTTGTTAGTTTTATACACCTATTATATAAGAAAATCTGACGCTCACCTTTGCTAATGGAATTATTAACGTTATAAAAAATTCAAATGTATTATAAAAAAATAATAACACATAAATTGATTTTTCATTTAAATTGCAAAACCTTTTAAACCTTTTTTTTTTGGAATGTAACGTATGTGGTCATGATTCTATTCAATTCAATTTAGAATTTTTGTTTAATTTTTTTTCTAAAATTTAGACTAAACACCAAAATTATTTGTTTCCTTATAACAATAAAAAAAAACATTTTATAAAGCTACAAAAAACCACCAACAAAATTAAATTTGTAACAACAATTAAAAACAAAATATTTTTTTTAATAATCTATTAGTTTATATATTGTGTGTTAGCAATTTATTATTATACAATTTACATGCATACATATTATTATTATTAATAATATATTAAAATTACATTTAAGTTACACTATAATGAAAACAAACACAACCACATTGTAAAATAATGCATATACTAAAAAAACAAATAACTTGTGTGAAATATAATAAATAAATAAAAAATTAAGTAATTAATATGTTTTTATTTGCTCATGTTTTTTATATTTACTTTAATGTCGTATACGACATAATTTATAAAAAGATATTTGTCAGTGATAAAATTTTGACCCCTTGTGGGACTTGACCGATGGGTCTCATTTTCGTACTTGTACTAGGATTGGTAAAAATATAACGATGTGTAAAGTCTGGGTCAAATAGGATAGTCCGTTCGCATGATATTATTAAATTAGTTTTCAGCAAAAAGTGGTCAGATGGGTCCCGTCATCATCTAGTAAAAATATAAGGATGTGTAAAGTAAGGCCCTTGAAAAAATATTTTTAATAAATCCACGCCTTATGTAAGCTCTAAAAAAAATATTTTAAAAAAATTCCCTCCTTTGTTTTAAAGTAACATGGGGTCTAAACCAATATTTCGTCGTTTATGTACTTTTTTGCCGTAACAAAGTGTATATACATACCCTTATTAGCCATATGATACATATTGTATTCATAAGGGTATAAAAACATTGACGATCAAGAACGGAATACGTCATTCTAGACTCAATTAAATATTTATGTAGAATTGTTAACATTTTACGAACGGGATACGTCATTCTAGATCCAATTCAATATTTATGCAAAAAAATTTTACATATTTTACAATAATTAGTCGATTTTCTTAAATATCTTTGACCTGTCACATAATGCTAATTTTCTCTTATATAAAATAAGTTTATCCATTTATTGTCAACATGAGATAAAACTTCAGAATTCCTCTAACCATTGCTGTAAAATTTATGAAAATCGATTCAGTAGTCGCTGAGTTATTTGCATTTGAATTCAACCATGGTATAAAATATACCCTACTGTTCGGTGCTGGGCGCCTAGTAACTGAAAATGAAAAAACCACACAAAAATCGATCTTATAAAAATGGAAATAAAATTAGTCTTCTTCTTCTATGTATGTGTGTATAGTTATTCCTGTAGGAAATGTCGTAGTGTATGTAAATCACTACTGACCCTGTAGGAAATTTCGATAGTAAATCACTATTGACATTATTTTTTACTATTGACATTTAACATCTGCTTGTCATTGAGAATGAACAATAAAAGAACGTTTACATTTAACCGGATTTCGTTAACCCAGTGGGTTTCAATTGTCAATTCCTTTGCATATATGTCAAATAAATCCTTATAAAGTAGGTTAACCCGGTAAAAAGTTCTAATGTATATGCCGTTTAATAGACACAAGGTCACACTAGTAAATCTTTTGTAATTTCTTTCGTGTTTTTTATTCCCTAATAAATTAAATTTTTATTAAATTAAATTTTTTAGATTAATTCTCCAATTACTTTTATTTACTTTAAATTTACGTTATTGACAAAATGTCTGTCTGTCTACTGCCGCCAAAAATATTTGTGATAAAACAAAAGTAACAAAACTAAGAAGAAGCATATCCCGGCTCGGCTAACTGTTAACAAAACAATGCTGCTTCTTCTTATTACATGATATTTGCTTGTCGTCTGCATATCATGTAATAAGAAGAAGCATTGCTTGAATACATTTGCCTAAAAGTATGCTGCAATTTTTGTTTAACAACCAACAGCGCAGCCACAATGAAAGAAGAAAAATTGTCATTTTAAACTATTTTTCATTTTTTTGTTAATAGGTGCCCAGCACCGAACAGTAGGTTGTATTTCGGAACATGCTTGAATTCAAATGCAAATAACTCAGCGACTACTTAACCGATTTTCATAAAATTTGCAGCAATGGTTGAAGGGTGTCTTGATAGACGTATGTTATACAAGATATTTAAAATATTGAAAACAAATTTTTGTTAAATGTTGAAATGTAGACACTACTTTTGCTCGATTTATACGTAATTTGGCATAGAGTATTGAATTAAGTCTAGGATGGCGTATTCTGTTCTTGAAACGGCAAAAATGTGTCTCATCATCGAAATTTTGGACCAAAAATCATCAAGTTTCTTTGGAACAAAACCGTTTCAGACAATCAAAAATATATACATTTATAAAAAATGTATATATACATGATAAAAAATATATACATATCTGTGTATAATTTCGTAGACCTACGCAAACGTCATATACTTGTATAAAATGTAATAAATGTAGTAAACGTCATTTATTTCAATATTATAACCATATACAGTTTTTTCAAGAATATATATTATTTTTGTACACGAATTTTTAGGATAAAAAATTTGAACTTTTTTGAAGAAAATTTTGACATTTTATATGGAAGCGTGCGTAATTTTCGAATTGATTAATGGGAATAGCTATCTTGTCAAAAACCTAATGGTTTTGGGGGGGTTTCCGACGTTTCTGACGTATGTATTATACGTTGGAAATGTATGTCATTTACGTCACTGTTTCTGACGGACCATATCTGCTGTGGCTATATATCTGTGGCCACCACCACGGACCCACACTTTTTTGCAGAGTAAAGTCTCGGCATTATTTTTACCTTCCTTACTTACGCATATTTTCGTAAAAAAAAGAAAACAGAATTTTCAAAACTTTGAATGCCAGTTTCTTTTATTTTGTAATAATGTATTCCTTTTGTTTTGTTTTGACTTGTTGTTTTGTACGTATGTATATGAAGAATATATATATTTGTGTGTAATTTTAAGAAAAGAACTAAAAAAAACAAATGTACATCATTGTTTATGTGTATTGGATTAATAGCAACAAAATTCTAATTTAATTACTAACAATTATTGATTTTTTTTATTATAAGCACATTATGCGACGTGGTTGGTGGATGAGAAACGATCTTGATTGGTAAGTAGTGGATTGTGGACTTTGTATTTTCCATCATTTTGAAAAAATAGGGTCGGAAATTTGTTTCTCTTTCTCCTTTACCATTCAGCATCACCATTTGATTTTTGAAAAACATAATCTTTCCCGCCAATATTCATAATGCCATCTTTGAGATAGAATTTCCATTTGTTGCGGGAGCGTGTTATCTGGAAAGAGAGAGAAATAGTGGTAACGAAGAAAAGTTACGTTAAGTTAGTGGAATGAGTGTGTACTTGTGTTTGAATTTACCTTATCATATTGACAAACAATAACATTATCGGTATCAAATAGATCCGTAGCATCTTCATCGGTAACATCGTCTTCGCTGTTGAGCGGTTCTTCTTCAGCACCACCTTCATTGTCCAAATCGGATTCATCATCTTTGTCTAGATCATCGTTGTCATCATCATCGATGTTGGCATCACTTTCTTCACTTTCATCTTCATCGGAGGTATCCAGGGCACCATCCATTTGTTTGGATGTATTGAAATTTTCTAAAAACAAATTTTTTTATTTTTTTTTTCTAATTTAATAATTTTTTAGATTTAATTCTAGCAGCGGAGACTTTTTAAACTGACTGACTTAACGATTCATCAACGCCCAGAGGAAACGACTGAAGCTATAATCTTGAAAATTGGGGTGAGGATCACTCCTAGTTCCAAGGTGTCAGATTTGTATTTGGCGAACCAGTAGAGCTAGAACTCTGAAATTTGTATTGAGGGTCATTAATGGAGTGTAGGAGAGATGATTTTCGAAATTCGAATTACAAGTATCCGAAACGAACTGAAATGTACTAACCAATGGATGTGGAATCCTCAAATAAGGAGCTGGGATCACTATTGTGGTGTAGAATCGGGGTATGTAGGAAGTTTTGGAAATTTCTACTAATGTGTATTAAAAGGGTACTAAATTTGGTACAATTTGGATTTAGGTGAACCGATATAGCTAGAACACTGATATTTGGAAATAAGTTTACACTGATATTTGGAATAAGTTTATATAATGTATCTCAGGCTATGTATATTTGTCAGCAGATAAGGCTTTGTATCATAAATGAATTTGAAATAAATAAATAACCTGTATTGTCGAATTGAGGTATTTTGGTAGTTTGGGAAATTCGTACTTATGTGTACAAAATTTGGTACAATTTGAATTTTGGGTTAACCAATAGAGGGCCAGGATTGGTGTAGGATTGGGGTATACAGAAAGTTTTGGAAATTTCTACTAATGTGTACTAAATGTGGCATAACTTGGATTTAGGTGAACCGATAGAGCAGCAGTCCTGATATTTGGAATTAAGATTAGGTATGTGGGGAGTTTTTAGAAATTCGTACTTATGATTGTAAAGATAGGTAGTTATAGAAATTTATATTAATGTGTACTAAATGGTACTAAATTTGGATTTAGGTGAACCGATATAGCTATAACACTGATATTTGGAAAAAAGATTATTGTTGGAGTGTGGGAATGGGGGTATGGATGTATTTTTTGGAAATTTGTATTTATGGGTACTAAATGGTACTAAACTTCAAATAATTTATATTTAGAGCTGAAATTTGGAATTAAAATTGGGGTATGTGGGAAGTTTTGGAAATTCGTATATATGATTTTAAAGGTAGGTAGTTATATATATTTATATTAATATGTACTAAATGGCACTAAATATTGATTTAAGTTAACCTATTTTTGAAATTTGGATTTTTTTTGGAAATTAGTATTAAAGAGTACAAAGGGAGAGATGATACCGAAATATAGAGATGGTTGCGGTCAGAATTGGTGTGTAGTATTGAGATGTGGAAGTTGTTTTGGAAGTACGTACAATAAGGGAACATAGGTACTAAATGGTACTTAAATGTTCATTATGGTCGATATTGGTTTTTAAATAATTCCCACGTTCGCTATCGAAGTATCGGGCATATGCTAGTTGAAGATAAATTTATATATAGCCGTCTGAACCCATTTATCCACCTGTGGGGAAAATACTGAACATGTAGCAATACTGGGGGACTATACGAAAACGTGTTGTGAAAGAGCTAGTTTTCAATACAAACTATTGTCTAAGGGTTGAAACAATGTATGTGCAAAATTCCGAAGCCGGGCCGAGAGCTCGCCCAAAATATTTTCCACTGCGTTGAAGAATATATGGGGCTCTCTGACGAATATTTCTCATGGTGATCCAAACAGATCTAATAATAATATTTGTTTTTTTTTGTAAATTTCTAATAAAATAAAAAAAAAAACAAATATTTTACTTTGCATATTGGCATTGACCAGGGCCGCATTGACATGTTGCTGCAACACCGATGAGGCCAATGTTGTGGGCAGTGACATTATCGACGATATCAAATGGGCCGTTAGGATTTGTGTCAATTGATTCTCCTGCAATGCTGAGGCTGGTACATGTATGGTTAGGACACGTGATTCGGAATTCATTGTGCCTGGTTGGGCAGGCAATGTAATCTGAAATAAAATATCAAAAAAAAACGAACAATTATTTAAGACATGTAATATTAGAAGAAGAAAAAACGAGAAAAACACACAACAACAATACCAAAAATCTCTGTGTAATACTCACATTTACAGGCATAATACGATTGGGATCTAATGCAGCCACAATGGGTATTGTCGATGATTGAGGCTGATTACCGCTTGTGTTATTACCAGGTTGCTGCTGTTGCGACTGTTGATTGCTACCGCCAGCAGCACCACCGGCAATACCCTGTTGTTGTTGCTTTTGTTGTTGCAACAGCAATGCTGAACTCGACGAGGTAGGATGTAAGGGTGGTGGTTGACTTTGAGGTTGTGAAGATTGCATCGTCGTTGTCGTCGTCGTTTGAGGTTCCTGTTTAATTGTACCGTTCATGAGCGTTGTATTGGCGCCGGCTGATGTTCCGGCCGCCGCACCACCAGTACCCGATGATGATGTGGGTCCATTTACCGCCTGTTGTAATTGTGCAATATTTGGCTTTACATCGGCCGAAGTTGCCGATGATGCTGCTGCTGTTGATGCTGAACTTTGAGCTGCTCCACCATTGTTGGCATTATTGGCAGCAGCAGCGGCTGCTGCAGCTTTTTTAGCTTTAGCTACTTGGGCCTAACAAATATACATACATATTTGATTTAAAAACAGTTTGGCAAGAGTAATTTTCTATTTACCTTTGTGGGCTGTGTTGTTGTTAGGAGGCATAGAACGAACATCAGGGAAATAACATTTAAAAAAAATTGAAAGTAGAAAAAGAAAAATTAGCGATTTCCATGAACCACAATGGTTTTGTTGTTGGATTTAATTGCTTCGTGTGTGTGTGTGTTTACCTTTGGATTATTGGCAATAACTTGTGGTGGCTGTTCCGGTGGTTCAGGATTTATTTCGACAGCTTTGCTGGCCATTAATTTTGATCGCCAGATTTGTTTCATTTCTTGCAGCACTTGTTCATCGACACCATCATCCAAGAAAGCATCACGTACGCTGGCTATGACATCTTCAATGACGGCATGATATACCTTCAGCTGGAAAAAACAAGGGAAAAGAAGAAAAATAAAATTATTTAAATGGGTTTCCAAAAATAGAGGAATTACAATTGGAATACAAATAACTAAAAGTTAAGTTCGGCGATACCAAACTTTATGTGAACTCCACTAATGAGGCGGCCATTGAAAATAGGTATCTAACATCATTCTAGACTCAATTCAGCCCGCTATGCCAAATTTAGTGCAAATCGAATGATATATAGAGGCTTTCGTGCACTATTTACATAAAATCGGACGAAAATATATATGGGAGTTATATCTAAATCTGAACCGATTTTCACGAAACTTAGCACACACACATCTATGCCAAATTTCGAAAATCGAAAGCTATATAGGGACTGCACCATTTACATAAAATCCGCGAAAATATATGCTATATCTATATCAAATTTTAGCATACATCATTCTAGACACAATTCAATCCGCTATGTCAAATTTTGGGCAAATCGAAAGATATGTAGGGACTTTGGTGCCCCATTTACATTAAATCGGGCAAAAATATATATGGGAGCTATATTTAAATCTGAACCGATTTTCTCGAAACTTAGCACACATCATTCTGGACCTAATTCAGTTTACTATGGAAAATTTCGTGCAAATCGAAAGCTATATATGGACTTTGGTACACCATTTACATTAAATCGGAGGAAAATATATACGGGAGCTATATCTAAATTTGATCCGATTTTCTTCAATTTCAATAATGTTCATCCTTGGGCTTGTGACAAATTTCATCCAAATCGGATCATAAATGCGATCTGTACTTTGTTTACGATTTAACATCTACAGACGGACGGACATGCATAAATCGATTCAGAAAGTGATTCTATGCATAATCTCCAAAGGAACCATGTGTCTATCTCGTTTCCTTCTGCCTGCTACAAACAATGCACAAAGACATAATACCCTGTACCACAGTGTGGTGAATGGTATACAAATTATATGAATGGTAGCAATGTATGTAATGTGTCTTAAGATGGAGAACTTCTCATTCTTTATAGAAAAGCTGAAATTCTTTTTCCTCGTAGAACTGCTGAGCATTGACTTTTAGAAGAATCGTTTATCCTCTGAGAAACCGGCAACACTGGTGATGGCTGTTTCGGATTTATTTGGACAGCTTTGTTGGCCATAAATGCAGCAAGCTCTCTTGTGTTTGCTAAAATAAATATTTATATGTTAAGGGGTCTGGTGAATACCTCGAGGCGTGGCAAACGGAATTTAAAATACAATCCACCTAATGATGAAGGGTACAAAAATTCCTTCAGAAGTTCTTTTAAAAAATATAAAGAAATATATGTATTTTAACGCTCTGATCCCCAACATTTATTTTAAAAACATTTGTATTCTTTTGTATTGTTATTATGCATTTATGTGTGTGAGTGCATGGATTGATGTTGTTGCTATAAAGACAAGATCCAGAAAGTTTACGTTGCAAATCACTGGCAGTGTTTTGCTGATCACAATATTCCAGTGAAAGTTATTGTTGTTGAATGCATTTTTTGAGTGTGTCACCGCCACATAGGCTGAGCGACAGTGGTCGCCGCATATAATTGGAAAGAAATGATGTTGTTAACGATTTTTGGTTTTTAGTTTTGCATTGATACGATGAGGAGGATACAAAAAAGAGAACCACATCGTTTTTTTTCGACTGGCAAGTACCACTACCTGTCGTTGTTATTATCAGTAATATTAAAAACAAATGTTAAACAAACTCACTCGTTCAATCACGTAATCAGCTTGTTGTTAATTTTAAGTAACAGCAAAAAAAAAAAAAAACATTTTTCACGAAGCTTAATTATTAAATTTAATATATATATATATATATATATATGTAAAAAACATTGGTAGGATGATTAGCATTTCTGATAGCTGTGCATTTTTTGAATATTCTATTTAATTTTTGGCGAACCATGTAATGGTGAAAAAAGCTTATGTAATGACTATATGCAGGTCAATGTCACTTCCAACAATTAAACATAATTTTTTTCAGAATATATAATAATGCTTATTAAGCAAAAAATAATACCAAAAAATAATTTCAAGATTTTGTGCAAAACCTTCAAAATAAAATTGCTAAAATAAACTACGAAGGCGGTTCGGAATGTTCTTAGCCTAAAAAAGAAAGCGCGGTATGAACAGAAGAAATGTTAAGTGTTTCGGATACTTCTATCTCTGTTATGAACACATGTTAAATTTTGTTTCGATCTGGCAACTACTTCATATAGAAACAGGTGTTCAAAAAAAGTCGCATCCGCAATTTTTTATAATGGAAAAATTAGAAATGCGAGCATTCATTGTAAAAAAGTTGCGGATTCGTATTTGAACACCTGCATTTCACTTAATAAGCATGCATAAAATAGTATAAAAGAGTTCTCAGTAGCCTTTTCCTTTGGCTTTTGACGGGGATTTCCGACCTTTGAGCCGCTGTCCGTTGCTAGAGTCTCGATAGATTCCCCATCGTCGGACATCGCCTCTATTGCAGTTTGCCGCTGAAATTTATTGTCGGCAAGTGCCGGAATCACCGTGGTGTTCAGCTCATCAGCAGTCAGGGTAAGATTTAGTAGCAGTTCCTCCGGAAGCGTATTCCCACATTGCTCTTCCGGTACAAGTCTGTCTAACTGGTCGAAGGTTTCCCTACTCTGCTCTGCTATAGGTCGTCCCCTTCCAGAACTACAGTCCTGTCAGTCCTAGTCTGATTTCCATTTTGAATTGAATATGCCGGTTCGTCAATGTTATTCGGATTTGAAATTGATGCGCTTGTAGCAGATACAGCTGCAAGTGCCATGGCATCCACACCTAGAGCAGGCGAATCACAATCGCTTGATCTCGACGACATGTGGCCTGGGATCTTACCAATGATTGCCGCTGGTACTGGGTTATTAACTCCCTGCACCGTAACTTTATCCTTTTAATTTAATTAATTTAATTTTTATTCAACAATAACATGTATACAAAGCCTTCAGAAGTACAGAGAAAAGTTGACCTATAATAAGAAATATGTATAATGGAAATTTTGCGATTTGCTTTATAGATGTATGTACATGTAAATCACCAATATTCATCAAATTGGTTTGAATATTAACGATTTTATTTGCCAAAAGAGTATGAATTTCAAGACCCATTCTATGGAAGCTAATACAAATCTTGGTTAGATATATCCAATTTTTTATCACTTGCTTTTTAGTTTAATAATAAGCACTTGTACGACATTTCGTCCACCCACCTACAAGCTAAATACCCAGGACATATAGGCTAACGATATGAGTCCATACCATCTGAATAATGCGTCGGTGTGTACCTTTGAATATTATTAATATGTGTTTAATAATGGCCAATCTGCGACCGGGCCCTAAATTCGACTTGTTTCTCTTAAAGTTTTAATTTCAGATTTTAATCAGATGTGAACCTAAAGGAAATTAGTTTCTCAAAATACTAGAAACACATTTCCCCCGTACTTTAGTGGTTCATCTAAATTTAAAACCGAACCCTAATCTGAAAGAAATTTGAAGTTTATCATGACACTGTTAAATAAAAGATTCGAAACATTACTTACCACTGACGATTGGCATAAAGCCATTTGAACCTTTTTCTCCGACATTTTTAGGCTGTTGGTTGGACACACAAGGTCCACCGAGGTAAACAAAAGCAAAACAAACAATAACAAAAATGAAAAAAATCACTCAATTGCAAATTTTGTTTTGCACTGTTTTTGATTTTTTGCCTTTATTTGCCGAGCGACGATTTTGTTGGGCAATTGTTGAGTGTGCACTATCTTGATTGTTTTTGTTGTCTGTTGCTTTTTGGTTTATTTTTTGTTTCTTTAGTTTAATTTAAATTTAGCGGTGTCGGCGGCACAACTATTTTTTTTTTCTTTCGCTGTCACTACGCTACGGAGATTTGACCGAGATTTTTTTCAACGGCATGCAACAAGCGGTGGCGGTTGCAGCAGAAAACGACTACCAAAAAACATATGGAATGATTTAAGCTGCTGCTGTCGTCAGTCAGACAGGTAGCCTGTCATCAGTATGTGTGTTAACACAAAAACTGAAACATCATCATCTGGGGTAAATAATACAAAAATAAAGAGTCTGACAGGCCGGTGACCGTTGACAAGGGGGTAAGAGAGAGTGACAACAATCTCAGACAAACGTATGCAAGAAACAGTTAACGCAACGTTGACAGATGTCTGGCAGAATAACAATGCCTAAAAAAGAACTGCAGCAACAGCAACGCCAGTTAAGAAATAAAAGTGCGCAGAAAATTATTAATAAATGTTAGTTAATTATAATTAACACACGGAGAAAAAACACACATTGACAGCAGACACACACTGAATGTACTCAACAACTGACTGCACAGCTCCAAATACTCGCAAACACACACCAACCACACTGTCTTTCACTCTCTTTCTCTAGATGCCATTAAATTGAACGAGTCTATTGATTCATTTACTTCAGTGTCTGTCATACAGCAAATAAAATTTCACTTTCACAGGGAATTTCTTGAAAAACCCGATTTTTTCTATTTACAAAAACTACAACACGATTTTTCTTAATTTTTTTTCCTACGGAACAAGAAACTTTCCTCGACGAAGCATCCGCTCTCGTTTACAACTGCCGAATGAATGCAAGTTGTTGTTGGTTATTGGACATAATGGTAGAGCCACAGCAACAGGGTTGTAAATTCTGGTATTTTTAATATGAAGTCTTATAAAAACAAAACATATCTTCACAATCAAAAAGAGCCGGGAAGAAATTTAAAAACGTTCCTTACAACATTTACTAAATTATTCCCTTAATTATATTAAATTTTATAAAATGTCTTTTCAAAATCCACACAAGTACCTAGTTTTGCAAACATGCAAAAAATTTGTTCCCATTTTTTACATCTTTACCCCACACACATAACATGGTATGAGAATGTATTTGTAATAAAAAATTATACAATGACAAGAGAAATTAACAACGAAAAAAAATTGATGTTATGTTGCAAATTTTGTTCTCAACGTCTAGAACAAGAGCATAATTTCTACGTAATTTCCATGGCACATGTTATTGGCATTTTTGCAATGGCCAGCACAGATTCCACGTCCTGGAAGCAAAGGCTTTACGAAATAAACGCAAAGCAATCTGACAGTGAAATGAGGCTCTTTATATACTGCGATTGGGATTTTATTTGAAGCACACACTCACACAGATAGCACATACCACAATGGCGGATGTATTGGTGTGAGTGTGCGTAGGTACTTCGGGGGCCTACATGTAGGCCTTTTTCAAAAAATAAGAAGTAACTATTTTTAAATAAAAAAAGATAATTTAAATTAATTGTTAATTTTTTACAGATGCTGGAGCAGTTCAATAAAATTTCGATTAAAATAGGAAAGGACCTTTGGGAGTCCTTCAATACCGAACGAGGATTCAGACAAGGTGACAGTTTGTCGTGTGACCTGTTTAACATCCTGCAGGAAAAGGTCATACGAGATGCAAATGTGAACAAAAATGGCATTCTGTACACCAAACAGCATATGTTACTTGTCCACGCCGACGACATCGATATATTGGATCAAACATTGCGAGCGGGAACAGCCACCTTTGAACGAATTGGAAAGGAATCGGCCAATGTGGGACTGGCAGTAAATGGCGAAAAGACCAACACGCAAAACGTCCAGTAGAGTCGGACCAACTGTGAAACTTTAAACCTACAGCTTCAAAGTAGTGAACGATTTTATATATCTCGGTACAGCCATAAACAAAATTAATAACATCAGCCTTGAAATGCGGAAAGCAACTCAAAAGCAAGGCCACCTCCCACCAGACCAAACGCATACTCTACATGACGCTTATAGTACCCGTGTTGTTGTATGAATCTGAAGCATGGGTATTTGCGCTAGCTGATAAGGCTGTTCTTGGAGGGTTTGAGAGTAAAATTCTCCGAAAGATCGATGGACCGAAACTGTGTCGACGGTGAATGTCGTCGTCGAATTAGCCGTGAGCTATTTATTCTCGGACATCGACATAGTCAGGATTCCCCCACTCAAAAGGCATATAAATGTGTTTGTTCCTTGCTGAAGGAGAAGGCCACGAATCCGATGGAAAAATCAAGTAGAATACAACATCTCGGAACATGGTCATTCAAAATGAATGACATGCGCACAAGACCGACGAGCTAGGAAATCTTTTTTAAGCTAGGCTTAGGGAACAACTGTTCTGTCACATATCGTGCTTTAAAAGACAGTTTACATAATAGTACTACTACGGTATGATAAAGAAAATTGACGTATTTAGTAATGGAAGAGACCTTTAAGGCCTTCTAGGTACGAAGGTGAGATTGGACCATATTGTTGTAAACACGAACTATTAATAAGGTCAACAAACTAGAGAAATTCAGCTGTTTTTTCCGAAGTCTAATGTCAAAATTTTTGACTTTATTTTCATTTTTCAAGTCAATTCACAATAATGCATTTCGACAGCAAACTAGAGGCATCTTAATAAGCCTTGGGCACAACCAAGATCTATTAATAAGGTCATCCATCCAGGGAACGTCAGCTTTTTTTCTAAAATCTAATGTCAAAAATTTTGACTTTATTTACGTTTTCATAACTGAAGTAAATTCACAATAATGGACATTGACAGCAAACTTGAGCGGCAGCTGATATCCAACTGGTCTCCCTGGATGACCTTATTAATTGACCATGTCATAACCACACGGTTGCTCAAATGAGGTATTAATTTTTTTCGACAACAGCTGATTCCACTGGAACCGCTGCTGCTGCAAGCTGTCCCTCATTGATATTTAGATTAAAATTTATTAATTAAAATATAAATTAAATCCATTAATTTTCTATGCAATGTTGGCTCCAACGCGTTTAGTTACGCCAGCTCTGTTGAGACAACCAATTTTGGTGAGGGTTGGTAAGTTTTCAACAAAAATAAGTGATTACAAAACTGTTCGGCTAAATGTCGGCCCCATTCTTTCATTTTTTTGCAGTCACGTTCTCTACAAAAGCAGCACCCAAAGAAAAGGAACAATATAACAAACAAACGACAAATGTGGCGCCCACAACATATCGTTTTATTTATCCCGAATTTTTACCCGATCCCAAGGTGGAGTGGCGTAATCCCATAAGGGAAAAATTGGAACGTATGGACATGATTGATCGCCGTTCACAAATTGAAATTCCAGAATTTTATGTCGGCTCTGTATTGGCGGTGACAAGTTCCGACCCTCATGCTGCCGGCAAGGTTAGCCGGTTTGTGGGTAGGTATTCCACTTCATGCAACAGATGGTGATTGAAATTGTTACAAGTTGTTGTTGTTTCTTTGTAAAGGCATTTGCATTCAACGTGAACGTTGCGGCTTGCGTGCCCGCTTCATTTTACGCAATATTGTCGACGAACAAGGCGTTGAGGTCCTCTATGAAATGTACGATCCAACCATACAAAAAATCGAAGTTCTTCGCTTAGAAAAACGTTTAGATGATCATTTGTTGTATTTACGTGATGCCCTACCCGAATATAGTACATTCGATCCGAATATGGAACCTGAAGTTATGGAAGATGGTGCCGCGGTCCCAGTTAATGATGTCCAGGTTCGCTTACGACCACGTCCCTGGTTGGAACGTTGGGAAAGACAAAATCTAAAGGGTGTTGCCAATATTGATGAATACCTTACGGATAAGAGAAGACGTACCGCGAAGGAACACGAAAAGCCATGGGAGAAATATGATCTAATGAAACAGTATCGTTCGACTATTCCCGAAGAGGAACAAAAGGAAATATATGCTGAAGTCTATTCGCAGTTGCATCAAATGGAACTGCAGCGTAAGCGAAATAAACGCAAGAGATCTTTTGTTAAGCCAACCAAATTGGCTTAGGTAGATATTACAAAAGTAATTACAGCGAGCGCGAGGAGTGGGAATAAATTTGTTGAACAATATTTGTTATAAAATGGATGTAATAATGTTAATCAAAATAAAAAGAAGCATTGTGAAGCTTATAAGCACGTATGTCCTGATTACAACGAAATATTTTATTCTTATTGCGGAATTCCATACTTCCTCGAGTTTTGGGCCTCCAAAGTTCCGCTGAGACCCCTTGAATTTTCCCAACACAATTTTAAATTACCTAAGGCAATATGGGTCGCAATTAGAAGCGGTTAAAGTCCTGCTTATAAAACAAAATTCCATTGAGACCTTTACATAGACTTCCTCCTATGGAGAGATACCAACAGTATATCATTCGGTCAGAGTTTTAAGACTCTAACCAAATTCTGAAACTATGATCAAAAGTAAAATCGCTCATCTATTTGTAGAAGACCTCTCGAAAGAGGCTTCTATATGTAGATAATCTCTTGAAAGAGACCTATTGAGGAGCCTTTTATTCATAGAATACCCCCCGAAAAAGGATTCAATGTATATGTCTCTTAAAGAGGAATTTGTTAATAGAAGTTTATATTTATAGCAGGTCTCCTGAAGGTGGTATCATATATTTGTAGAAGTCCTCTAGAGAAACGTTTATAAAAGTCTTCCAGGAGGATGCTCATTTTTAGAAGACAGCTTGAGTCTGATCTGACAATGCCGATGTCCGAGAATATTCATCGTCAACGCAAATCGGCCCATAGATCTTTAGGATACATTTTTTCTTAACCCTTCAAGAGCTGCCCCATCTGCTTGTGCTAGTACCCAAGCTTCAGATCCATATAACAGCACGGGTTGTATCAGCGTATTGTAGAGTGTGAGTTTGGTCTGGAGGGAAGTGGCTTACTTAGGCCAAAGTAGTAAGTCTATCTTTCTTCGAATTTCAAAACTGATGTAATTAGTTTTATTTATGGCAGTTCCAAGGTATATTTAATCTTTGACTACCTCGAAGCTGTAATTTTCAAGTTCCACAGTTGATCCGAATCTCCTTGCGCGTTGATGCCAGACCCACTTTTGCATACGCCTTCTCAATTCGTTCAAAGGTGCCTGTTACCGCTCGCAATGTTCGACCCACTAAGGACCACTAAGAGTGTTACCCTTTATGGAGGAATCTTTAAACTTTAAAATTTTTAGAGAATAAAATAGCTTACGAAATATTGTTTATATTACAATTGTGTGTGTTATTTTCTTAGGTTTTGTTTTTAAAAATCTATATTCTTTTTTATGTTAAATCTAATACACACGGTATTTATAGAAGTCTATGAAGGCTACGGTTACATTCCAACTAATGATTAATGTTATTAAATATAACAAAAAGATAATGGGCAGAGGAATGAGAATTAGACGGGTGTTCTTCAAGTGGGGAATACCTAGATCAAAGAAGAAGAAGATAAATAAGTGATTAGTTATCAATCAATAATAATAATATTCCATTTTGTTTTTCACTTACAATTATAACCCAAAAATGTAATATAAACATAATAACTTAAGGCCAACAGCCAAAAAGTATTTCCCAAGAAAGTCGATATGAACCATGGCTTGCTTATTAGCCAATTGTAAAAGAACAACTGGATGAAATGTAACAACATCAAGGGTGGAAAGAAGGCATTCAAATGGACATCGAATGAATAGCCCCATTCCACATCGGGTTCAATGCTGCTGGTGCGTAAATAACGATTTGTAAACAACCACAGGGAAGTGGCAACAATGATGCCGGCAAATATGCAATCAACAAAGACCACATAGAATATAAATGATATACTCTGCCACACGTTTAGGCCCAAGACCCAGGCGAAGCCCAATGATGTAACTGGAAGACACAAAGCAAGAGGATATTATTGTCAAATTAAAAAACCCATTAAAATACGATACTACTTACCACACAGACACACAAGAAATAAAACTAAAAATGCCGGATCATCTCGGGCAAATTGGGATTTTGTCTCTGCAAAATACAAAACAACAACATTGATAGTCAATATACCCCCTATCTAGTTCAATGTTGTTACTACTTACGTTTCCTATAATTAAAATTCCTATAGACCTTTTGTGGCGCTATAAACAAGTAGATCATTTGCCATAGGGCAAATTCAAAATCCATTTGATTGAATTTCAATAGACGTCTCAGATATTTGTAACTTTTTGTTGTGGCCGATAGGCAATTCTTCTTATAGTTGGCCGGTGGTGGCAACGGCGATTGACCCCTTGAGGCCACATAGCTCGATACCACTGACGGTGTGGGCGATGTCGATTGTTTCATTATTGGGGAGGGGAATTTAATTTTTCTCTGTGTATTTTCCTTTCCTTTTCGTTTATTTTTATTTACATACAAACTTAACACAATAAATTATTAAACAGCTTAGCTTATTTTTTGCATTTTATTGTTTATTTTCTTATTTCGTCGTCGTTGGATTTTTCTATGAAGAAAAAAATCTTTTTGTTATTGCTTTTGACAGTTCTGACACATCATTCATTCAACGAGAGATGGTAAACAACCGATGGCACAATTGACAAATAATTTTGTTTAGAATATCGATAGTTGATGCTATCGATGGTATTGCTTTATTTTGTAGAGCCGTTATTACAGGACTCTATATAATTATTGGTGAGGTTTTTCCTCAGAGATGGGAGGGTGAGGTCAGGGTGCAAAAATTCAAAAATTAAAAGTCAAGCTTTGTTAGAAAAAAAGGACGGAGTGTCGAAGTTGGGCAGAAACATATTTTCAGAAAAAATAAGAAAGAACAAGATAAACATGAGCGGGAGCAAATCGACATGTACAGGAGTTCGAATGAGGCTTTGCTAATGGCACATCCTCCAGTAGAGATGAAGCCTATTCAATGATATTATTGGACCATACCAATGCGGCTTCAGACCATTGACTAGACTTTCCCACTGCAATAAATCCTGGAAAAGACACACAAAAACGCATAGACAAATTTCACCCATTCATCGACGAATGAACCATGAGCTTTACCATATATTCTCGGATACCGATATAGTCAGACGTATCGAGCTGCAGCGTATACTTTGGCAAGGTCATGTTGTGAAAATTAATTAAGATGCCACACAGAAGGGGAAGATGTTTACACAGAAGAGGAAGGCCATGAATCCGATGGAAAGATCAAATAGAAGACAATATCTCGGAAATTGAATGAGATGCGCACAAGACCGAAGCTCTTGGAAAATTTTTTTAAGCTTGGCTTATGGAACAAATGTTCTGTCACAAGCCAATAAATCCTAATAAATCCACTCTATTTCACATGTCAATTCCATAGCGTATACGTCACCATGTTTACAAATTCAGTTTTATATTTGACATATCGCTATGAAATCGAGTGGTTTTCATAAATTTATGATAGTTCTATACATATATAGCAAGATCTATTAATAAGGTTATCCAGCTAGCGAAAGTCATTTTTATTCTCAAGTCTAATGTCAAAATTTTGGACTTTGTTTACGGAAGTCAATTTACAATCGTGGATTTTGACAGAAAACTTGAGAGACAACTGATATCCAACAGGTCTCCCTGGGCGACCTTTCATATAGGGAATGAGATAGAGGAACATACCATGATCCAATAATATTTATTGGATCATGAAACGTGCCACACAATTGATTGCTGTCAGCTGATTCAAAATCGATCATTTTCAAATCGATTTTTGTATCTCAAGTAATCGATTTGGATCTTACTGGAATTGTTTATTAATTTTCACCTGTTGTCTTTTTCTTTATTTACATTTAATTTATTTTTTTAAGTGTTTTTTATTTTTTGTTTTATTGCTTGTTTTGTATTTATTTTATTACCATAAAAACAATACGAGAAGAAGCAACAATTGGTAAGAATTTGTGAGATTAGCGATTGTCCACAGATTTGGCAATTAAAGTGCATCTTGTTTTTTCTTGCTTGTATGCATTTCTTCTTTGACGTGTATGGGTGTGTATACGTGTGTGTAAATTTATTGTGGCAAATCGAAAATTGAACGTGCAACAACACCTTCATTTGCATTGTATATGACTCAGTTGTTTGATCTTCCTCGAAAAGATGTCCGCTGCTACAACAAAATCGAGAGTGGTGTCTGCACCTCGGATAAAAACCACGGGATATATTTATGATCTGCCATTGTCAGTTACCCGAGAATTGTGCAATCATTTGGATGGTCTGGGTATATGGAGGCAAGTGGCACAGACGATGAATTTCAGTGAGGCGGATATACAAGTGAGTAGTCACACACAAATACAGGGTTTCGGGTCGGAGGGAGTGTGTATTTGTAATGGAAAACCCCCGCCACTCCTATTATAAAAATATTTTAAGGGGGTTTTTCTAAACAAAATAATCGCCAAATACCTACTATTTTTTTTTTCAGAGTATGGCCAGAAAAATAAAGAGTACCGGTGAATCGCCCACAAATGAATTGCTTAACATCTGGGGTGGCAAATATAATCACAAAATATTGGAACTTTATAAAGTTTTATACAAGTAAGTTTTGGAATTAAAATTAATTATTAATTAGAATTCAATAATTTAACTTATAGACTAAAGACAAAACTAGGTTGTGGATCTTTAGAATTATTGTACCATTAGGTGTTGTTGTAGCAATGATAATTATTTTTCTGTGGAAATCTAATATTGGTCCACTTTTTAGAGTAGTTTCCATATATCGGTAACTCCCGAATTTTGGTGACATTTTTCAATGAAATTGCTTGTAATTTAGTATTTTGTGTTCTTATTGGTTAGCAAATCTTTCTACTAAAAATTATCAATATACCCACATTCCAGAATTTTAGGGAAGTTTGGGCTCGTTTCTTAACCGAATTGCTTGTAATTTGGAACTTTAGCCTCCATATAGCAGTATCTCCCAAAAATCGATATTTTGTGGAGTTTGAGTACGTTTTCCAATCGAAGAGACTGTAAATTGGTATTATGATTTCCCATTGGGTAGAAAATCTTCCTACCAAAAATGAACAATATTGGACCACTTTTTACATTAAGCCCCATATAGCGAAAACTCCAAAATGTCTGTATTTTGGGGAATTTGAGAACGATTTTCAATCATGTTTGCTGTAATTTAGTATTCTGAATTTACATTATCAAATTATCAATCTCCCCATAAGTCAAAGTTTTTAATCGAATTTGCTGTATTTTGTTATTTTGAATTCTCACTGGTTAGAAAAACTCCTCACTGGTTAGAAAAACACTGGTAGAAAATCTCCCTACCAAGAATTATCTGTATTGACCCACTTTTTACGATAGCCCCCATAGAGATCTAAACCTCATTATTCGCTATTTTTTGCCGCGTTTTTAAATCGAATTGGCTGCAATTCGGTATTTTGAACTACTGAGTAGAAAATCTCCCTACAAAAAATTATCAATATTGGTCCACTTTTTACGATAGCCCCCATACAACGTTGCCTTCCGAATTTTCTTGTTTTGGGGAGTTTGGACAAGTTTTTCGAGAAAATTAACTGTAATTTGGTATTTTGAGTTCTCATTGAGTAGAAAATCTCCCTACCAAAAATTATCAATATTGGACGGCTTTTTACGATAGCCCCCATAGAGAGGCAACCCTCATTATTCGCTGTTTTGAGATTATGGCCGCGTTTTATAATGGAATTGGCTGTAATTTGGTATTTTGAATTCTCATTGGGTAGAAAATCTCCCTACCAAAAATTATCAATATTGGTCCACTTTTTATTTTAGGGCCCATCTTACGATACCTCGTTTTGTTTAGTGATTTTTTTTTGCACTTTTTTAACGAATTGGTTTTAATGTGGTTCTGAGTGATTGTCAAATTATCCTAAACTTGCCTTGTTCCATTTTATGTATATATTTTTAATATTATGTTTTTTGTTGTTGTTTTTTTTCAGACTCAAAGCCTTTCAAGGTATGCGTATACTCAAAGATTATGTTCCCCGAGAATTTACCCTTCTAATACCCGAAAGTGAGCCAGCATTTAGTCAAATTTTACCTTCAGAATGCGATGAAGGTAGACCACGAACCAATAATAATAATCATATGGGTTCGAACTCACCATCAAGTGGTATTATATCCTCAACAAATTCCACGATTGTATCTTCCGATAATAATAATACAAGTCATAATAGAAACAATAACAACAATAATCCTTCATGGAGAAGTCGTTCCAATTTACAGCCCGCAAATCACCAGCCACCCCATCAACCAGTCACAGAAAAAATAATCAATAAACACCATGATACGGGTCTACCGGAAATCGATTATAAAGAACTCACAGTGGGTACAAACAATTGGGATGAACGTTATCGTTTGGGTAAGGGCGGTTTTGGCATTGTCTATCGTGGTGTTTGGAAAATGACCGATGTTGCCATCAAGCTAATGACCTATAAAGATTCCGATGGCCAGGAGCAGGCAAAAATTGAATTACAACAAAGTCGTAATGAATTGAATTGTTTGTATCGTTATCGTCACGACAATATCCTGCCAATATATGGTTATTGTATTACCGGGGAGAAGCCATGTTTGGTATATCAGTTGATGAGGCGTGGGGCATTATATGATCACTTGAATACGAATAAATATCCACCGTTGACAATGCAAAAGAGAATTAATATAAGTGCGGGAACGGCTAAGTATGTAAAGAAAAAAGTTGAATTTCCATAAATCGAAGGGAGGCAAATTATAATTCATTCCAATTTTTAATTAATTATAATTATTTTCATAACTCCAAGTCCCCATAAGTCGAAGTTTTTTTCTCGACATTGTGGCGATTGGAGTTATGGAACTTTGACTGTTAATTCCATAATTCTAAGTTCACATAAGTCGAGGTTTTTTTCTTGACATATTGTGGGATTCGAGTTATGGAAGTTCGACTGTTTATTTCATAATTCGAAGTCCCCATAAGCCGAAGTTTTTTTCTCAGCATAATGTGGGATTCGAGTTATGGAAGTTCGGCTGTATAACTATACCGAAATTCTTTATAATGTTTTTTATTTTTTTTTCAACATTCAGAGGCCTATTATTCCTACACACCCTGCTGAAGGATAAATCTCTCATCCATTGTGACATTAAACCGGGTAATATTCTATTGGATCAATGTCTACAACCGAAAATCGGTGATTTTGGTTTGGCCCGTGAGGGTCCCGGTGATGATTCGTATATTACCGTTGATCATGTTTATGGCACGCGCGGCTATTTGCCACCCGAATTTGCCGATTTACGACGACTCAGCAAACACGTCGATACCTTTAGTTTTGGTGTGGTATTATTGGAAATGTTCACCGGTCTGCCATCGGTGGTGGATAATAAGAAATTCCTAAAGGATTACATAAAATTGCAACAAAAAACCAAAACCATCGAGCAGTTAATGGATAAACGTGCCGAGCTGAGTGACGAAGAGAAATTGCTGTGCAGAATTGGCATTGAATGGGGATTGGAATGTATACGGGATGATCCACTGCAAAGACCAAATATGGAAGTTTTAGTTAAGGTATTTAATAGTTATGCAGCTGTGGATTAGTGACCTGGCCCCGTACTGCAATAATCTAACATTTTTCTGTTTTCTTCAATATCCTAAGGGAAAAAATTCCTTATCGTAGTAAAAAATTGCACATTCTTGTAGGTTCTGGAACATACCATAATAGTAGGTTTACATTGTACCTAATGTCGTTTACCCAGTGGTTTTAAATTGTCAATTCCATTGCATATATATGTTAAAAAAATTCTCATAAAATAGGTTAATCCGTTAGAAAGTCGTTTAGGTTGGTTGCTTCTTTTTAAATATTTTTGTATATTTTTTTCCTTGGGAAATTTTGAAATCCATTAAAAAAATGGCATCATTCAAAAAACATTCCGGTGTTTATAATTTTTCTGCATTTGCTAATCATTTCTAATCGTTATATTTTTTTTAATATTTATATAATGCTCTCTCAATGACATTCCTTATTTATACATTTTTTTAATTGACAAATGGTAACATAACCTCACATTATTATATAAGTTTAATAACGGAATTTGTTTAAAACAAATTTATCATATGTGCCTATCTTCAAATCCAATATTAGTTTAAATATATTATGTATTTTATTTATACTTTTATTTTTTTTGAATATTTTTTATAAAAATATATTTTTTTAAATAAATTTTGATCGTTTTCTTTTAAACTATATAGTGGATTAGGATTATTATTATCGGGAAAAAAGGAGAGAGGAGAAACAGGGTTGAGAGTGAAGTTCGGAAATTTTACCAACGAGTTTAACACCACATCGAAGGCTTTGGTGAAGGCACAGCCTCCTGTACAGATGAAGATGGAAACAGGTTGACTGATAAGTAAAGCATGTTGAGGATCTGGAAAGGGCATTTTGAAAAGGTTCTCTGGTATCAAATAGTGGCTGTGAAGAAGATATCCCAGAACCAGTAAGATATGACGGTATAGATTGTAACCACCTAGCCAAGATGAGGTCAGAGTAGCAATTAATCGGCTAAAGAACAATAAAGCAGCAGATGTCGATGAGGTACCAGTCGAACTATTCAAGATCGGTGGTCAGATGCTGGTCGTCAGGTCATGCATCAGCTGATTAGAAAAATTTAGCTAGAGGAATGCATGCTCAACGATTGAATCCTCAGCGTTGACCCATGTCCAAAAAAGGAGGCAAGACGATATGTGCCAACTATAGAGAAATTAGTCTCCTTCCCATCGCATATAAAGAGCTATCCAGCGTGCTGTGTGATCGACTAAAGCCAATGGTCAATGACATTACTGGACCATATCAATGGTCCAGTTCCCGGCAAAAGGCCCACGAAAAACACATCAACACATTCCATCTATTCGCCGGATAAATTTCACTGGCACAAGATCAGCAGTTAAAGTCGGAAAGGAGCTCTCGGAGCCCTTCAATACGGAACGATGATTCAGACAAGGTGACAGTTTGTCGTGTGACCTGTTTAACATCCTGCTGGAAAAGGTCATACGAGATGCAAATGTGTAGAGAAATGTCACTCTGTACACCATCGAACATTGCGAGCGGTAGTCTGTCAAAGTGGGACTGGCAGTAAATGGCGAGAAGACCGAGCTGGCGGTATCAACGAGTAGACTCGGACAAAATGTGGAACTTAATTTTACAGCTTCGATCGATTTTATATACTTCGGTACCACCATAAACAATACTAATAACATGGGCATTGAAATCAGGAGGAGAATAGTGTTGGCCAACAGATGCTACTACGGTGTCTGAGTAACCAATTCAAAAGCACACTCTACAAGACACTGATATTACACGTGTTGTTGTATGGATCTGAAGCATGGACACTTGCGCAAGCAGATGAGATGAGAGAAAAATTCTCCGTAAAATCTATGGTCCGATCTGCGTTGATGCTGATTATCGTCGTCGAATGAACCATGAACATTGACAAAGTCGAACATTGACAAAGTCAGACGGATCGAGCTGCAGCGACTACGTTGGCTAGGCCATGTTGTGAGAATGGATGAGCATGCCCCAGCTCAAAAGGCATATCAAAGCGAGCCTGATCTGATGAAAATATCAAGTAGAAGACAACATCTCGGAAAATGGTCTTTAAAATAGGATGAGATGCGCACAAGACAGACACGCTTGGAAAACTGAATGTTATTTGGTATTTCGCGTTTCCATTGGGTGTCAAAAATTTTAAAGAATTTTGGCTTGTTTTTTGGTATTTCGCGTAATTTGGTATACCGCGTTCTCATTGGGTGTCAAAAATTTTAAAGAATTTTGGCTTGTTTTTCAACCAATTGGTTTTGAATCGGTTCTTATTATGGGTTCACATTTTGGTTGAACCCCTATATAGCGGAACTGCAGATTTTCGGTATTTTGAAAATTACAAAGACAGTTTTAAATTCCTTGTAATTTTGGTAGAGACCTCATTTACAGATACACCTCACATTTTGGTATTTCGATAATTACAGACACGCTTAAAAAAATACATAACATTTTGTTATCTTTAATGAATCTTCAATCAAATTTCGTTGAAAAAAAAAATTCCCCTCAAATTCTCAAAATTAATAATTTCAAATTTATTACCATTTTATTTCCATTATGCAATTTTCTCAATATTATGACCATTTTCCAAATTCCTATACAGATCGGGAAATTTAATAATATCACTATTACTCAATACACCCGCTTTAAAGAGATTGCCATATATCTGAAGAGGAAGGAAAAGAAATGAAAACTGGGAATGATTTCGAAATATTTCACCCACCTCCCTTCCACCCTCCTCCTTACATTCAGACTTACCATTTCCAAAATGTTATTATCCCGCAGCAAATCATTTCTCATTTGCATATAAGCTAAACGTAAACGTTCTTCGCCGGCCGATATAAAACCTGGTGTCCAATGCGCTTGATTTTTTAGCAATGTCAAACGTTGACGTTCCACCAGACGTCGTGGTAATGCCGAACGTCGACGTCGTCTTTCTTCAAATTTGATACATTTACCAGTTAGCAGATCATTTTGTCTGCGTCGTTTCTCCTCCAATTGAAGGCGAAGTTTTTTGGCAACTTCTTCACGTTTTTTACTTGCAGCGGTTTCGGCATAAATCGATGCCTTATTTTGTTGGGTATAGAATTGCGAATAGTAATTAAGTTGTTGTTGATTTTGTGGTGGCATAATGCGTCGAAAATTGCCCAAATGACTTTCCTCCCAGGCAATTTGTTGTGATATGGCACTCAGGGGAGAGGAGAGGTCTTTTGCGGAGTGATCATCATTTTTGGGGCTAGGGAATGGAGTAGGATTTTATTTTAGATATAGAATTAAAAGTTTATGAAAACCTTAAAACTGTCTACAAGATATTTGTCAATATTGGGCTAATCAGGGTAGCGCCCTCTAACGGTATCTTTAATTTTGGAGATTTTGGGCATGTTTTTCAACCAAATTGGCTGTAATTTGATATCTGGGTTCGTATTGAATAGCAAATCACGCTACCAAAAATGATCCATATCCGTCAAAGTTTTGGTTAAGGTCCCGCATAGCGATACCTCTACATTTTGGAGATTTTCGACATGTTTTCCAACCAAATTGGCTAGAATTCGTTTTGGTATAGGCCCCACCTAACGGTCACGAGAAAGTTATGATATCCTCTAAAAATTCTCCAATTCTACAAAAATGTGTAAAAAATTAAAATAACCCTCCTCCTTACCCATTATTTTCGGTTTTTTGTTTCAGCAGACGCTGCTTAACCCGCTTACGATCCTCTCGCATTATCTGCCTTTTATCCGCCAACGCCGTACTCACCAAAGCCAAAGTATCCCTTATCAGCGGCCGCTTTACCTGACGATCAACCATTTCATTGGTGTGAAAACTTGGCGAATGATTAACTTCCAGAATATAGGGGCGAAATTTTGAATCCATTAGTATATCGAAACCCAATATTTCAAAACAAGCCTGAATACGATCGTGGTTGGGAAAACATGCATGATAATTATGTTTCAGTGTGGGCCAGGCACTCAGTATTGTCTTGATAATGATATCATCAATGTTGGACCAAAATTTCTGGACACTATGATTGCGTAACTTCAGCCATGTGTTGATGGAACCAAAGGTACGCTTACTGCCACAATCGTCATTATCACACAGGTCATATTGGGAATTTCGACGATTCACCGAATAGTTGGTTAAATGCATATACAGATTACGATTATTTTCTAGGCTGGGGTGGAGATATTTGCTGGTGGCAAATCGTGCCAAACCTTCGTTGTAGACAAAAATCCGCAACGGGTCAATGGATGTGATCAGAGCATAGACACGTAAATCAAATTTATAGCCATCGATAAGTAGAGGGCGGGAGATGTAGGTTTGGCAGATCATACGCTCACCGGCGTTGATATTTTTCAAATCATTCGTTAACCAAATGCCACGTCCCTGGGCCCCCGAATCGGGTTTTAAAATGAAGGTTTTTATTTTGGAGCTATTGTTGGCATGATTGATGGCCTCACCGTAGCTATAGGAAGAGAAAGGGCATTATTTAGAAATCGATTAGAATCGAAATTTTAGAAAACCTTACTCTGCCGGAAATATCCATGTCTTGGGGAATATCTTATAATCCTTCGGATACAGTTTTAGCATACGATTCAAATTTCTCGACAGCAAATCTTTGCGACAAATTTCCATCATACCGGGAAAATGATTGATTTGCTGGAAACGTTTCATATTTTTGTACAACTCAACACCCGGCAGGGAATCACTCCACATGATATTCCATAATTTAGTATCCTTGGTTAATTTATAGCCCAACGATTTGGCCATGGAACCAATCATCGAATAACGAGAATGATTAATGCAAATGCTGGCCTTGGTGGAGCTGAAAGAAAAAAAAAGACAATGTCACAATTAGACGATTTTTGAAAAAAGACCCAATGAAAAGGAACCACCTACCTTATCGATGGCATCATTTCCTCGCTCTCTCCTGCTTCTTCTTCTTTTGTTTTGTGATCACCAATAATATCACAATTTCCCACATGTTCTGTCACAACACCATTACGTTCACCTATGACATTATCCATAGCCCAAAACAATCCGTCCTGTTGCTTTTCTTGCCGCAACTTTTCTTTGGACATTCGATGCAACATTTGTATCCTTTTAAAAATTTTCGATTTTTTCAAATTCATTATGACGGTGAGACGGGAAATTAAAGAAAATATTTCCAATAATTTGAAAATTTTTATTAAAAAAGATTTTCTATATTTTTTAATTATTTGAGGTTAGGCAGAGTTCAAACACACAACCCAATCCAACCCAATAATATTTTTTTTTTTTTTTTGATATTGGGAATGGCAAATATTTGTTTTTATTTTCATATAGAGGCCAGTAGATTGGGTCTTTAATATACTTGAGGAAATTTCCTACAAAAATGTCTACTACAGCAGATCGATCGGCTATACCCTAGCCTTCGCATAACGGTCCCTCTAATTTTAGAGATTTTGGCCAAGTTTTCCAACCAAATTGGCTGTAATTTGAAATTCTGGATTCGAATTGCGCAGCAAATCACACTACCAAAAATCATCAATATCGGTCAAAGTTTTGGCTAATGACCCGCCTAGGGGTACCTCTAATTTTAGAGATATCGGGGATGTTTTCCAAGCAAATTGGCTGTAATTTGATATTCTAGATTCACATTGCGTAGCAAATCTGCCTACCAAAAATTATCGATATCGGTCGACATTTTGCTAAAGGTCCCGCCTAACGGTCCCCCTAATTTTAGAGATTTTGGCCAAGTTTTCCAACCAAATTGGCTACAATTTGATATTTTGGGATCGCATTGCGTAGCAAATCACACTACCAAAAATTATCAATATCAGTCAAAGTTTTGGTTAAAGTCCCGCCTAACGGTACCTCTAATTTTTGAGATTTTGGCCATGTTTTCCAAACAAATTGGCTACAATTTGATATTCGGGGTTCGCATTGCGTAGAAAAAAAAAACACCCTATCCAAAAATGATCAAAATTGGTCAACGTTTTGGTTGAGGTCCCGCCTAACGGTCCCTCTAATTACAGAGATATTGGGCATGTTTTCCAACCAAATTGGCTGTAATTTGTTATGCTGGATTCGCATTGCCTAGCAAGGCAGCCTACCAAAAATTATCGATATCGGTCGACGTTTTGGTATAGGCTCCGCATAACGGACCCTCTAATTTTTGGGATTTTGGTAATTTTTTCCAACCAAATTGGCTACAATTTGATATTCGCGTAGCAAATCTGCCTACGATATCGGTCAACGTTTTAGTTAAGGTCCGGCATTACGGCCCTCTAACTTTTGAGAGGTTCATTTGATGACCATAATTTCCAATTTTTTTTTTTTTTTTTTTGTGAAATTTGGACCAATTTTTTGGTCGATTTTTTTTAATTTTAATTGAAATAAATAACATTCCAAAGAGATAGAAAAAAATTGTGTTCGCCGATTTTTGATCCATCATTTTTTTTTTGAAATTTGGACCACTAAAAAATTTTTGGCCCAAAATATTTAGTGTGTCTAAAAAAAATTTAAACGAATACGGATTTTTTACCACACAAAAAAAAATGTCCCACTGTGTCTACCGCCAAGAATTGATGAAATGTGAAGATTAATAAAAAGAAAAGGAAACAACCTTTATTTTTACAAATATATTTTTTGTTTAATTCATTTATATGACAAATACTATTATGTATGTGTGTTTTTCTTATTTTTTTTTTTTGTTACTTGAAGTCGTAATTGTTCTGCTTATGTTTTTGTTTGTTTTGTTGTTGTGTGTAATAAAACTTAACCAACCATATATATATTTAAATATATATTCTCATTTTTGTTTGTTTTTTATTTTTTCAATAATAAAATTTAACTATTGTTCTTTTTTTATTTATTATGTTTTTGAGACATATGCAAAGACCAGGAGGATGGGAAAAGAAAAAAAGGGGAAGGGAATTTCTTTTACAGATGACTCTTAAATCACTTGTTTAAAAACAAATTGATTTAAAAAGGGAATAGAATGAAAAATCTCAAATTTGTTTAATTTCCAATTTAGAAAAACCAATTATAAAAATTAATTAAAAAATATCAATATTTTTAGATCATCCCGATTACAAAAATGTTGGTAATTGGAAAATCTGAAAGAGAAAAGAAAAGAATAGTATGGTAGGAGAATTCACATTTCCCAATTTCCAAATTTTTTTTTATAATAAAATGGTTGTTTTCTTCTTTTTCCTTGTTGTTTCTGTATAATGTTTCTATTATATATTGTTGTTGTGATTTAATTTTTTTTGTTGTTGTTTTCTTATTATTGTAATTTCGTTTATTTATTTTTTTTGTAAGTTTTTTTTTTCATTTTAATTTATTACTTAAACATGATATAAATTGTAGTTGTTTTTGTTTTATCCGTCAATTGCTTCTTACATTGTAACTTAAGTTTGTTGATGTTTGTAGTTATTTTTTTTATTGTTTTTCAAAAAAATCTATACAATTTTATATTTTATTTTTTTAATTTTCTTCTGTTTTTTTTCCTAATTTAAGTTAATTATTATAGTAATTATAGTACTTATATATTCATGAATAATGTGTGTGTGTTGTGGTGTTTAATTTCTTCTTCTTCTGATGAGTTTCCTTTAAATATTTATTTTCCTTCCATAGGAGCGGATTAGGGGGTGGTTCGCCGGATTTTCAAAATTTTGACTTTCGGTTGTGGTGCTTAATGGTGGTTAATTGGTTGTTGTTGCTGTTGGTGGTGTTTGTTTTTTTTTTGCTGTTTTGTAGGTGCTTGTTGTAGTTGTTCTTGTATTTTTTCCAGTAATCGTTGTTGTTACAAACTAAGTATTTTCAATACATTAACATTTTTGTTTTTATTTATACTTTTGTTTTTTTGTTCTATATATTCATTAAATTGTTGCTTGTAATATTTTAAATTTTGTTGCTGTTGTTTTTATAATATTTATATATATGTTATATATAAATTAATATTTATACAATCAAGAGGCAGTCCATTCTTAAAAAATGTTATTTGAAATTAATATATTCAGTTGCTTATAGAAGTTTTTTCAGTTTTTTTTTTCTTTTGTATTTATGTGTCTATGTACTGCGCAACAGGGTGGAAAAGAGGAGATTTGTTGTGTTCTTATTTTTGTATTTAATATTTTATTACTTTTTGCTTTAATGTTTTGTTTTCTGTTTTATTTTCGTTATTTATCACTCATTGTCTCTGTTATTTTTATTTATTATTATTATTTATATTTTAATTATTTAAACAACCAACACATTGCATTTTAGTTAAAAATTTTTCGTTGCATTGTCGCCATCATCAAAACAACAACAAATGAAGAAAACAAAATTATAAACGAAGTATGTGAGTGACATCGTATTGATTCGTTTGTTTAACATTTAAATTTGACCATGGGTATGTTTTTGGTTGATAAACACTTGTCACAGCACCATTCAGCGAACACCTCTTTCGTTAGCATTTTAAAGGCGGCCTCCGTCAAACCCACACACGTTCTGCAAGGGGAAAAAAGAAAATTATTAAAATCATTTTTCACACACTCCCCTCCACCCATCCCACTACTCACCTATGGAAAAAGAAATTACAACCCGATTCACAAAATACCGCTTCGTCATTATCATTAACTTCTTTGTGGCACATTCCGCACGGATAGATGGGTGGTGCATTCGGATTTTGCGGATTAAAAACCATTGGCTGTCCGGGGGGATACATTTTGCCAGCACCCATTGTCATTGGTTTGGGCGGACCGCCAGGACCACCCATTGGATTGCCATGACCCATTGGACCGCCGGGGCCCATGGGACCACCGGGACCCATTGGACCGCCAGGACCCATTGGGCCACCCATACCCATAGGACCGCCGTGGCCCATTGGGCCGCCCGGACCCATTGGACCACCCGGACCCATTGGCCCGCCAGGACCCATTGGACCACCCGGACCCATGGGACCACCCGGCCCCATATGGCCGCCACCCATGTGACCCATTGGTCCGCCAAACATACCCGGTGGTCCATTACCACCCATAGGATTGTGATGATGATGTGGTGGCATACCGCCGCCGTGTGGTCCATGCGGACCATGAGGTCCATGCTGATGTGGTCCATTCATGCCGCCGGGACCCATACCTCCCGGTCCCATGCCACCCATATGGGAATTAGGTCCCTGCCCCAAGTGTGGACTACTGCCGGGACCCATGTGGGGACTACCGCCTGGACCCATGTGTGGACTACCGCCAGGACCCATCATGTGATGTGGGCCGCCGCCCATGTGATTTGGTGGCCCTGAACCACCCATGCCCATTGGTGGACCACCTCCGGGACCACCATGCATCATGTGCGGTGATGGCATACCGCTTGGCCCCGGACTGGGACCATGGCCCGTACTCTGATTCATATTCTGTGACATTTGTGGCGGTGCATTCAAGTGTGGCGAAGGTTGTTGTGGTGGCAGCATTTGATTAGGACCGCCGCCGCCGCTGCCTGTGGAACCACCACTTCCCAGTGGCAGATGGGCATGCGGTGACTGTTGTGGCTGTTGCATAGGAACATTAGGATTCATTTGCTGTTGCTGTTGTTGTTGCATTGGACCACCTGGACCCGTATTTGGACCATTGTTGTTGTTGGCATTGTTATTGCTGTTGGGTCCACAACCCAGTGGTGATGTAACAGCACTCGATGGCCCATTGTTATTGTGTGGACTAGCACCGCCCATGTTGGTCATGGAATTATTACCACCAACTGCATTATTACTATTGTTGTTGTTATTATTACTGTTGTTGTTGTTCGAGTTACCCGAATGTGCTGGCGATGCCAAAGGACTACGTCCTGGACCACCTGGCATATTACTATTCACACCACCACCACCCGGACCAGGACTAGGTCCCGGTCGTGCTCCGCTACCGCACATTGTATGATGGGGTGACATTGCAGGAGGCCCGTTACCAGGCGCTGGTGAAGATATAGGCACTGACGTAGACGCTGCTGTAGTCGTCGTTGTCGCTGATGAGGACGCACAGGAAGATGACGGGGTTGATGAGTTCGGCAAGGGTCCATTCGGAGTTATACTGGCAGATGGCGAATGTGGTATACCCAGCCGTAACGCCGCCGGCGAAAGCATTGGATTTTGTTGACTTTGTTGGTTGTTATTGGGATTGTTGCTGTTGTTGTTACCGCCGCCGCTGCTGTTGATTGAATTATTGCCGCCTCCACTGACATTCGAGGCCATACTGTGGGCAGGAGAGATACCACCTTGCTGATTGGGAACCATACCGGAGGGAGGCTGCAGTTGTCCACCGGGCCCAGGACCTGGTCCTGGACCACCGGACATGTGATTTTGTGGCGCAGGTCCATTGCCCAACGGACTGTGCATTGGAGGCGGGCCCATTTGACCGTTGTTCATGTGAGGCGGAGGAAGTTGCGATTGATTTTGCGGGTGTGGTGGGCCTGGCTGAGATGTTGGTGGACCTAATGGACTACCCATTGCTGCACCCATGGGCGAACCCATTGGCATTGAATTCATGGGCGAACACTGTCCCGGGCCGGGTCCTGATCCGCCACCAGGTCCCCCAGGCATGGGAGAACTCATGCCGCGAGGACCATTGGGAACAGGACCGCCCATAGGACTGAGACCACCCATGCCCATGTGGTGCGGTGATATGCTGGGACCACCCATACCTCCCATGGGACTCATGCCACCCATTGAAGCTAAGCTGCCCATAGGACTGCCCATGGGACCGCCGGGTCCCTGTCGTCCGTGACCACCCATGTGCGGCGGCATACCCATCGGCCCACCAGGACCCATTGGATGGCCGGGTCCAGGTCCGCCCATTGGACTGCCCATGCCCATAGGACTCATGCCTCGCATCGGTGGACCGCCCATTGGATGATGTGGATGTGGAGGACCGCCAGGATGATGGGGATGCATATGCGGATGCATGTGTGGTGGCCCATGTGGTCCACCCATGCCCATATGGGGACCTGGCCCGGGGCCGAAATGACCTGGCGGACCACCCATATGGCTCATGGATGACATCGAACTGGACATTGAAGGCGGAGTATCATCAAAAGGATTCGAAGCTACAATTGTATCACCATAGCCACCCATTGGTGGCGGCGGCAACAGATCCTGTGGTGTAGGTGGTGTCTGTGATTGTTGCATTGAACTAGCTGCTGCAGCGGCCGCGGCAGCTGCTGCCGCCACAGCTGCCGCCGAATTGGCATTAGTCTTTCGACGTTTTTTCGGATTACTCGGCGCCGAGATAATATCCGATGGTGGCGGTGGCTTAAAATCAGGCGGACATAATCCACCTGCTGGACCCGGCATACGATATGGCGCCATACCGAGATTGTGGGTCATGTTGTTGGTATTTTTCTTCCGAATGGTGGCAGCTTTTCTTTAAGACGATCGGAGAGAAAAAAATTAAAAATGGCCTGCTGCCGGGAGCAGGCGGTTGAAAATAACGGGGGTTTTAATACTGGAAATATGGATTAGGCAAATCCCAGGATCTGATGTGTGTTTCTTCTCTTCGATGGAAGTACTTCAGAAAGAAATTGATTGATTTTAAAAAGAAATAGTCCAAATCAGGAGTCAATGTCGAGGCATAGTTAAGGACGTTGTTGTTACTGCAAAAGGAAACAATTTTTACATAAATTTTAAATTTTTGTGGGGAGGTGAAGTAATTTCAACAACAAATGGTTACCTTGATTTTAATAAAACTCCTTTTTTGTGATGTTGCACATTTTTATTTTTTCTGGAGGGGGTGACACCATCTGCACAGCGACCAAGTGGTCTGCTGTGTCGTCTTCACACAATACAGCAGCTTCCCGTTGCCGCTTTGATTCGATATTCACTCAAACAAAAAAACAATAACGACGACGATGACAAGAGACTAGCCAAAATTCGTGGTAAATGCTTTTTTTAATAACAAAAAGGAATTTTTAAGTTTTTTTCTTATATATTTTTTTTTTTAATATGACTTTCTTCTTCGTTGCTATATTTTAATGTATGTGTGCTTCTTCTTCTTGTTCGAAATATATTTTTTTGTTCTTTTTTCACAGCAGCAGCACCACCGCTCACTTTCTTTGATGAAAATTTCCACACTATTTATTTTTTTGTTATTTTCAATAAATTTGTCCAGATGATATTTCACAACTTGAGGAACTCCAAAGTGGATTCCTGGCTAACATGGAGCACTGGAAATTCAATGCACGACAGCTCCATGCACAAAGTTTTGGTTTTTTTTAATTTTTTATTTTCGCTTCACTTCTTTTTTTCGCTTTTGGATCAGCACAACCATATAGCCTAGCCGTCGGTTGTTCCTTCTTCTTCTCGAGTTTCTGTGTGTGTCGTCAATTTCGTTGCAAAAATTTTTTACTACCACTTCTCATTTCGTTTTCATTTTTTCTTTGCCTTTTCTGTGTGTTTTAAGAAGTTTATCGCGTACCGCATTTATAGGCTTTTATTTGTTCGTTTTTGTGTTGAAAATCCGAATTGTTTAAGGTTTGGAATCCGATGCGTTGGAGCTATACTTGTTTTTGTTGCAATATTAATTGATATTCCCGTAAAAATTATTAAAAATTTTGACAAATTCCATTTTTTACTCTTGTTTCCATCTTTACTCTGGTATCGACGACGACGACGCGTTAGGGTTGCATAGATCGACATGGGATTTATCGACATTAATCGGACATATCAGAAAACGAACAACCAAAAAAAGGAGGATGACAAGAGCATGGCTCAACATGAGAAACAGGGGAATCTACCAAACTGTCAACTGTCAAAATTCTAATATTTTGCATTAATCGAAAGAAAACGTAAAAAAATCGAAGTATTTTCTAAAGAAAATATAACTATTGGTCGGTCCCCGTACTGCAAGAATCTTCTAATTTTTACTACGATAAAGAAGTTTCCTTTATGATATCGGAGAAAAATTAAGGGAACGGGCCATATATTTTCCGGCAAAATCATGGATGTTAAAGAAAAAGAACTTTGGTCTGTTCCCGTACTGCAAGAATCTACTAGTTTTTTTACTACGATAACGAATCTTCCTTTATGTTATCGAAGAAAATAGTAAAATCTAGTAGATTCTTGCAGTACGGCAACAGACCACTTGTTATGCGTAAAATTTTCTTTAGAAAGTATATTTTTTTTTTGTAGAAAAAAAAATCGATTGTATTATCAATGGAAAAACTAACTATCGGTAATTCTTTCTATATCTAGAGCATGGCACAATGAATAGGTAGTCCATTTAGCGCAGCTGATGTCTTGATTAACTGTCAAAGTGGCTAATTTCTACTTGAATTCGTTGTGCAGTGTTGCCAACCATTTCAAATATTATATGGAAAAATTTGACAGATAATCGAGACAAAAACAAAGGTTGTTGTTGTGATACATCACCTTATTATTGCATCATGATCTAGAGGAATTCTTGTTATCGGCAATACTTTCTATTAAAATATATTTATCGGATACATATTACATAAACAATCTGATTCTCGCCAATATTTTTCAATGAAATGATTGTTATCGGTAATATATTTTACGGAATATTTCGTTATCGGTAAAATTTTCTATAGAAATTATTGTTATCGGCAATATTTTCTGCGGGAAAATTTGTTATCGGTAATATTTTCCATAGAAAGACTTGTTATCGGTATTTCTTTTTATAGAAAATCTTGTTAGCACCAATATTTTCTAGAGGAACCCTTGTTATCGGCAATCCTTTCTATAGAAATATTTGGTGTTTTCCCGTACTGCAAGAATCTACTACTTTTTACTCCGATAACACTTTTTCCTTTATGATATCGAAGAAAATAGTAAAATCGAGTAGATTCTTGCAGTACGGGAACAAACCAATTGTTATTGGATTTGAAACAATCTAAATCAATAATTTTCAAAGAAATGATTGTTATCCGTAATATTTTCTACGGAAAATATTGTTATCGGTCATATTTTTTTGGAGAAAATCTTGTTATCGGTATTATTTGCTATAGAAAATCTTGTTATCGGCAATATTTTCTATAGAAAATGTTCCAATGGCCAATATTTTCAAATAAATTATTTTTAACGGTAATATTTTCAACGCAGAATGCTCGCGTTGAGCCATCCGTTGCGTTATATGTTATCGAAAATACAAAAACCACAAGGAAACGATAACACAAACGCATATCGTTTCCTTGTGGTTGTTGTATTTTCGATAACATATAACGCAACGGATGGCTCAACGCGAGCATTTTGCTTAGCCCTTAAGGGCTGAGGCATCCGTCGCGTTATTGAGCCATACGTCGCGTTATATGCTATCGAAAATACAACAACCACAAGGAAACGATAACACAAACGCATATCGTTTCCTTGTGGTTGTTGTATTTTCGATAACATATAACGCGACGGATGGCTCAACGCGAGCATTCTGTTTAGCCCTTTAATGGGTCCGTTGAGCCTCTCCTCCTCCTTCGATAACATATAACGCGACGGATGGCTCAACGCGAGCATTCTGCTTAGCCCTTAAGGAAAAACGCTATCATTCTGTTTATGGCATTGTTTTTGCCATTTGGTCTGTTCCCGTACTGCAAGAATCTACTACTTTTTACTACGATAACGAATTTTCCTTTATGTTATCGAAGAAAATAGTAAAATCTAGTAGATTCTTCCACTATGGGAACAGACCAATTATCTTTTTATGCTGACAAAATGTCCGATAAATCCTTAACTCCAATGTCGACCTATATATCCCTAGCGGGTCGTCGATACAAAAGAAAAGATGAAAACACAAACAAAATGGAATTTAAAAAAAATCTTATTATAATCCCTGGTCAATTGTGATTTGTTACGTCCTGCTATATTGTCCAAGCGAAGTATAATTATCCTATGGACAATATACGCATAGGTAGGGCCTCGATATTATAGAGACCAATTTGGTTCTTGTTGTTTGCAAGATGCTGATGCTATGTTGTCCGATGGGAATGGACCATTTGGGTATTGTCGTATTGGAGGAAAGTTGTCCATTATTCTAATATCGATTTATGTTTTTTATTTACAGAGGTTACTACCCACAACACGTATCCTCCGTAAAGAAAATTGTGCGGATGCGGAATCAATTGTCCATAGTTTGGTGAGTTACTATCCTCAGCTCAGTGGATCAAAAAGAATGTCAGAGAATTGCGTCCTTACATACCCTTAAAGTCCAATTTTGTCAAATGTCAGTCCAAGAACGGAAAAAAATGCTTTGAACAGGTCAAAATATTAGGGAGAATAGACTTCTGTATCATCTTTCGATTAACAACACATACAAAAATTGTGGTCTACTACCGACTATGTCAGGATGAATAGGAGACAAACTTATATGAGAATATGAAAAAATGGCGCTATATCAAAATTATTTTGCAAATACAACCTCCAAGATCTCGGAATGTCCCAATCACAGACTCTTCATTTAGGAATACAATTACAAATATTCAAAAAGCAGGAAATTGAAGGGTAACCTTGCATGAAGTGTTTACCAAAAAGTGAACCGATTTTTTCCACATTCAATTTCATACATCCCCTTTGGTGATTTCAAAAGGCTGACCAGGCGGACATGGCTAAGTAGACATAGAATTTTATACTGCCCATAAGATTCTATGTAAAGAAAATTTTTGGTTTAAAATTTTGGAGGAGTAGGTGTATAGTGGTTTTTGGAACCGATCTTGGCCTTGTGGCTAGGTTCCCATTAATGAAAAAAAAGGAAATAGATGTTATGTTTCATTTGGTTTGGATAAATTCTGGCTATGAGTAGAGTTTAGATCCAAAATTTTTTACAGATATTTTAAATTTTTTCATAGGGCTGAAGTTAAGTTTGAAAAAAAATTTGGTATTGATTTAACGATATACATACATACTATATATAAATAATGTGCAGTGTTGTATTGGTCAGAATGTGAGTACTCGAGTCGCTGTAGATGAATAACCAGTCTATAAACATTCGTTAAGGGTGCTTTAAATTTATTGATTCAAATAACGAACATAGACTAACCTGTAAAACTAACAGCCTTACCTAAAATTCAACTAAATCGTTCGACGTTTTTCACCACAAAAGTAGAACACATGCATTTATATGAATGCTACCGAAATACGTCGACGTACGAATTTTTAAAGTTGAAAAAATTCAACTATGACAGAACGTAGTTTTTTTTTATTTTTGGAAAAAAGAAACGAAGCCTAAAGAAATATAAATAAATATAATAAGAATATGAAATATTTTAATTTGATTTCGCGATTTTTTTAGTTCGCTAAGAGAAATAGATTCGAAGTATATGGGTAATACGGCCGTACAAAACATTTTGCCATAGTGGGGAAGTTGAATATCTTTGTACGCTTCGTTGATTTTTAGGTAACGTTGTAAGCGACTATGTTTCACCAGTCCTGATATTTGACGATATATATGTCATTATCCCTAGTAGAGACGACTGGAACCGTAGGAAC